TACCAGAGCGCTCACGCTAGAGCGCACTTCACCAACCAGAACCTACACACGACGGCAGCCCATCATACGGCTTCGTCCGCTCCAGCCTCCTCAAGCAGGGCCCTCACATAGTCCCCCAGGAGCATCAGCGCTGACACGGCACCGCCAACGATGTCTACAGCTGCAGCCGAGTCTACGCTCGCCGATACTGTCCGCATCACGGCGAGCAGGCGCGGGTCCAACACGGTTCCCGAGGCGGGCACAGGCTGCACTCGCGTGGACACGACAGCCAGATCAGCTGCAGCCATCGCGCAGCGCTGGAGCGGATCGTGAGGCATCTTGCACGGGCTCACTGAGCTCCGTAGAACGGAGTGTGAGTCCGTCAGCATCTCCACAGCATACCCCATCGCCCTCTGCGCGTGCCAGAGCCGACGAAGCGTGGCGATTGGGATCGCAGTCTCCGCCAGCCGCTCCCTCCCCCGCAGGCGCTCCAGCTGCGCCCTCTGCGGCATCCGCAGCCCACCCGAGCGACGACGCCCCTGGTCCCCAGGAGGCGAGTCCTCGCCCGTGGACTCCGCTCCCCCCATCTCCGCTGCTTCTGCCCCCCCCTCAACTCCAGTCGGTGACGCCAGCGAACGGCGGGGGGGGACAAAGGGCGCTGTCGCCCGCTCGCCGAACGATGCCGGTGCCACCAACGGCGGTGGGCCACGGGACCATCCTGCCACCGACACATCCGGGGGCGTCGGCTGCCAGGGCGGCAGTATCTCCGCGGACCGCACGTCCATCCGACGCGGATCGAAGGGACCGGCCGAGGGGAGGACTGGCGGAGGGGGTGCGGAGGGAAGGGACGCCAAGAGGTGCTGGCTGTCAAGGAGCGGGAGAGATGTCACACTGCGGGGAGGGAATGGCGGCGTCGGTGCCTGAGGAAGGGGCAAACGCACGGGCGGCAAGTGCGCTTGCTGGTATTGCTGGGGCGCCAGAAGCTGCGGAGAATACGCCAGAGCCTGCTGGGGTTGGGCGACACTGCGGAACAAGCCCTCGAGAGTCGCCGCGGCCCGCCCTAGGCGCCTCTCCGCCGCGGACCCACGGTTACTCCCCCCGCCAGCCCTCCAGCCGACGCGCTGGCCCGATCGCCCGCGCGGCGCCTGCGGAGTCCGGCGCTGCTGCCCAGGCCCCGCCTGTGGGCGGCGCTGAGGCGTTCCTCGGCGGGCGGGATGCTGCTGGCGTGGTGACTGCTGCACCTCGCCACGCGCCACTGGTTCACGTCCAATCTCCACGGCGCGCTCGGGGGATTTCTCCTCGTGTCTCGGGGGCGCGGCAGTCCTGCCCCGCGACTGCCCCCGCATCCGCTCGGGAGTCTGTCGGCGAGCCGTCGAGGGGCCGAGGAGCCCGCGCTCCCAATCCCGGCTCGACGGCGCTGGAGGACTCGCCCGACCTTGGGGCGACTTGCTGTCCCCGGTACTCTCCAAATCGGCAGAACGCTCCCGCGCTGGTCGCTCCATCCCGGGGAGGCGCGCCGCACTCGGCACCCCCCACGACTCGGCACGAAAGCCGAACGACGACCAGGGCCGCCCCGAGAGGAAACCACGGAGGCGGACGCGGAAGACTCAACGCACGGACGGCCGGAGGGCGCGGTCGCGGGGCGGCAAGGCGTGGCAATCTGTCCTCCGATGGAGGACCACTGAACGGATTCCAGCAGGCGGCGAACAGGGCTTTAAGTGCCTCGGAACTGCAACGAACGACTGATGAGGAGGAACGGGCGGACGGAACCTATATACCAGGGAACCAGGGAGACCCCACGACTGAGACCTCCAGTGAGGCGGAACACGTCGAAGCAAACAGGCGCGCTGGAGGACGAGAGACTGACCCATCTCCAAGATCTAGGGGACGAGGGTCCAGCCGTTTGCACAATACTCGGGCACCGCTGGACACCCACCCCCAGGCAGCCCAGCAGTTGTCCCCGGAAGAACTGGCGAATGACCCCTCCAGATTCGCCGTCATCGCCACGTGGGACGTCGCAGTTCTCTGCGACAGTCGCCAACCCCCTCTCTCCCGCCGGTTACCCCCCCAAATCCGTCAACTTTTCGCGCTCACCCTCCTGACACCCCTCCTTTTCCTCGCCAAACATCCAACCTCCATCGAGGGTTGGACCCTGTTACTTTACCTCCCGCGCCTCACACTTCGCCTACCCTCGCCTCGACGCCCTGACTGGCCCGCGACGGAACGACGACTTCGACAATTTCTCGCGGGCCAGTGGGACACACTGTACCAAGCTGCTGCCTCGGCTGTCACCCTGCCACCCCCTCCCCGCCACGTACCTGACACTCTCGGGAAAATATCCCGCGCCGAGGGCTTGGTACGACGAGGCAGTTTGCGACGGGCACTGCTCGCGTTGACTTCGACCCCAGTCAGCAAGTCCACCCCCACGGTCCTGGACGCGCTGAAGTCAAAACACCCCCCTCCGCTTGTCGAAAGCCTCACCTGGCCACGGCTTGACGAAAACTGCAGGCCGCCGACAGTCGATTTCGCTACGTTCGCGAAGCTCCTCGCCCGCTCCGAAAATGGAGTTGGGGCAGGCCCCTCGGGGATGACCTTCGAGCACCTTCGCGACGCCTCGCTGTCCAACCCCGCCGTCGCCACAAACCTCCACAAGCTCGTCCAGCGGTTACTGGCGGGTAACCTGCCGCACGAGGTCAGCCAGCTCGTTACCTCCTCACGCCTCCTGGCCCTTACCAAGCCAGATGGGGGTACCCGCCCCATCGCAATAGGGGAGTGTCTCCATCGACTGGCGGCAAAAGCCGCGCTAATCTCCTCTACGCAATCCGCGCAAGACTACTTCCTACCACACCAATACGGAGTAGCCATCAGGAGCGGCGGGGAAACAATCATCCACGCCACCAGGGGTTTCACCTCTGCGCGCCCGGGCTCACTCATCCTACAAGTCGACCTCTCGAACGCCTTTAATAGCGTTGACCGTGGGGCAATCATCCACGCAATCAACACCTCGCCCCTCCGCCCGCTCCTTCCATTTATCCAATTCTCGTATGGCGCGCCGTCTCTGCTCTATCTCGACGCTGAGTTTGATAGCCCGCCCCTACTCAGCGCACGGGGAGTTCGCCAAGGGGATCCCATGGGCCCCCTCCTCTTCGCAGCAGCCATCCACCCAGCCCTCCAGGCAACCGCCGCGGCCCACCCCGAGGTCCTTTGCCTCGCATACGCTGACGACGTCACTTTCGTCGGCAACCCGGACGCCTGCACCTCGGCATTCCTCACCTTCACAGCCGCCATGGACCGCATCGGTCTCTCCCACAACCCCGCGAAATGCGCAGCATGGTCAGCCGAGCGCCCTGCACCCGACCGCCTTCCCCCAGACATACCTTTCAACACTGAAGGCGTCCGCGTGCTTGGCAGCTTTATAGGCACAACCGAGGGCACAGCCGCATTCCTCCGCACCCAGCTAGCCCTGCTAGCCGAACCCCTCGCCACACTGGCCACAATGGACCCTCAGTCCTCATCCCTCCTCCTCACACGCTGCGTGTCCCGGCGTGTCTCATACTTAACCCGCACCACCCCCCTTGACTTCCTACCCTTGGAAGTCTGGTCCGACTGGGGTAGGGAGCTCTTCCATACCCTCCTGCGTGCCTGCAACCTCCAACCGCCTCGAGGGGAGGTGGAGCAGGCGCGCACTTGGGCTCAAGCGTCCCTCCCTCCCTCCCTTGGAGGACTGGGTCTAACCGACCCCGCAATTGAGGGACACCCAGCCTACCTCACCAGCCTCACCCAAGCCCAGGGCCTCTTGGCTGCCCTCCCAGCAGCGTCAGGAGGGCCCCTGGCTGACGCTGTCCGGCACCTCACGCCACCTTTCACCAGCCCCACCCACTTGCATACCTGGCTGGCGAAGTGTGAAACGGCGATGCCCCCACGAGCCCGGGAGCTCCTGCACTCCGAGAGGAGGGAACCCTCCGGCTCCCCACTCCAACACCGCTTCTCCCTCGAAGTCCAGGCCGTGCGATACGCCGGCCAGGTGGCAGCCACGCGGACAATGGACCCAAACCCACTCTCTGGGCACACCCAACGCCTCTTTTCCCTGGCTGGATATGGAGCAGGGGACTGGCTTCATGCCATCCCCATCTTCCCATCCCTCCGCCTCGAAGCTCCACACTTCGCCATTGCCCTGGCCTTCCGCCTCGGCCTTCCATTCCCAGCCCCCCGCACTTGCAACTGCGCCGAGGAATTTGAAATCCTCGACACTAGGCTGCCCAACCACCTGCTCCGGTGTGGCACCGGGCACGGTCGGACCGACACCCATAATGCCCTGCGGGACGAGAGCATACGGATGGCCCGGGACGCTGACTTTATAGTCACCAAGGAGACCACCATCTACAGCCCCGTAGACGGCCACAAGGCCGACCTCGCCCTCCGAGACCGCAGTTCCGGAGCCGTCTGGATCTGTGACGTCACTGTCACAGATCCCATCAGCAGCCGGGACCCGGATGCAAGAAAAGGACGCGGATACATGGCCCGGGAGCAAGCTGACAAGAAAATCTCCCATTACCGGAATCGGGCTCCGTATGTCGGATTTTTCCCACTTGCAGTCGAGACATACGGCTGCCCATGCGCCGAGGTCCCTACCTTCTTGAAGCTACTGGCTGACACAGGGGCCAGGAGACTTTTCAATGCGGACCCCAGCTCCTACCAGGCCGCAAAATTGCTCCACCAGTTTCGCCAACGCTGGTCAGTGACGCTGCAGCGGGCACAGGCCCTGGCTTACCTGGGGAAAGTTAATGAAGCCTCCCCTGCCCCCCACACCCCAGTGGGTACCCCTGACGCCGACATGGCACCCGGGGACTGCTTTGCCATAGCAGAGCCCCTAGGGGAGCTCGTGTAGTTTCGAGCCCCCAAACATGCACGTACCTTGCCCTGCTGCCCCTTGCCTGCCTTGCCTAGCCTGTACCCAGTTTTCCAAGCAATAAACGGACCGCTTGAGAGAGAGAGAGAGAGAGAGAGAGAGAGAGGCTCACAGGGTGCGTAGTCTGTCAAGGTGTTGCAGGGAGGCAGGTATGCGCCCTGACAGGTTATTGTGGCTCAGGTCACTGCTTGCACGCACGCACACACACATGAGCGCGCCCCCCCACACACACACACACACGCACACGCACACGCGCGCGCGCGCGCGCGCACACACACACACACGCGCGCGCGCGGTGTGTAAAGAATATGTTATGTGGGTTTTGAGGCCAGGATGCAGTATGCGCATTGGTGAAAGGCATGCGGTGTGGCATGTGGTGTGGCATGCGTTGTGGCATGCGGTGCAGCTCTCCAACAGCAATGAGCTTGACGGATAAATGGATGGATGAAGGGATGGATGGATGGAAAGGGAGGCGTATGTGATTCGCACAGGGTGTCGAGGAGTGTGAGCGAGCCAAGAACGGGAGGGATGGCGCCTGTCAGACCATTGCTCGTCAGAGACCTGCACACATAGAAATCAGCTCCCACCCCTCGAATCCCCCAGCCCCCCCCAGCCCCCCCCGCCCCCCACCCGCAGAAGTCGCAAATAAACACATACGGAGCAGAAGCAGAGTGGACGATAGAGGATCAATCGAGCACACAAGTGGGCATGGGCATGTGTGCATGGGCATGTGCGCAGTGCGCTGTGTGCATGCATGGGCATGTGGGCATGGGCATGTACGCATGGGTGCCGGCATAAATTGTAGCTTTCGGACAAAAATAATGCAGGGCGTAGGGCAGATATGGCATGGGAGAGGAATGGCGTGGCAGGCATGATGGCAGTCCCGGGCACACGAGGTGAGCTGAGAGTGACCTCACAGGTATGTGAGCTGAGTGAGGTTGCCGATGGTCACAGGTATGGAGCCCAACGAGCCACCATGTTGCAGTGCCACCCTCCTGCCAGGGAAGCACACGCATTGGGTCATGCCGCATGGCACGACATGGCACAGCATGGCACAGCATGGCACGGCATGGCATGGCATAGCACACACAGCATGGCACGGGATGGCACAGCATGGCACGGGATGGCACAGCATGGCACGGGATGGCACAGCATGGCACAACATGGCACACACAGCATGGCACGGCATGGCATGGCACGGCACGGCACGGCATGGCACGGCATGGCACGGCATGGCACGGCATGGCACGGCACGGCACGGCACGGCACGGCACGGCACAGCATGGCACAGCATGGCACGGCATGGCACGGCATGTCCCGGCATGGCACGGCATGGCACGGCATGGCACGGCATGGCACGGCATAGCACGGGGCACAGAGGGGATGGTAGGGAGGTAGAGGGCAGATACTGGACGGGAGGAGAAGAGTAGAGCGAGGAGCAGGGAATGACGGGGTAGAGTGAAAAAAGAGGCGGGAGAGCGGGGGTGGGAGCAGCTGAGAAGGGAGCAGCCGTGATAGCCGCAATGGTATGGTATGGCATGGCATGGTATGGCATGGTATGGTGGCATGGCATGTGTGGATGCATTGGGCCTCACAAAGAGGTGATCATGCCATCGCGATCGCACGTGAGCCCATGCGCCTCTGCGCACTCGTCTTCCCGCCTCCACCCCTCGAGCGTCGTGCCCCACTGCCGCTCACACTCCGCCAACACTCTCTCTGCACACACACACACACACACACACACACACACACACACACACACACACACACTCCCGAGCACATTCAGTCACACATCCAATCACACAATCAGTCGCATATACGAAGCAAGTTAGGCTGCACCAATTCAATTCACAGTGCTATTCGGAACTCCGCCGTCAGACTGATCACTTCGGCCCACCAACCATCCATCTGCTCTGCTTCACCATCTCATATGTGAAACCCGTCTGATTAGGACGGCCTCGGGAGGCGGTTTCCGTCAAAATGAACCTGGCCAGCTTTTGCCAGCTTTTGCCAGCTTTTGCCAGCGTTTGCCGTGTGGCAGAGGCATTCCCACTCGAGTAAAGCAGGCGACGAGCGAGTGCTGGCGGTGCTCGCACGCGGATCCCTGGGGTGTGATGCGAGGAGGGAAGTTTGGCAGGATGATGGCTGGAGGGGATCCCTAGGGTGTGACGGCTGGACGGGATCCCTAGGGTGTGACGGCTAGAGGGGAACCCTAGACGGCTAGAGGGGAACCCTAGACGGCTAGAGGGGATCCCTAGGGTGTGACGGCTAGAGGGGATCCCTAGACGGCTAGACGGCTACACGGCTGCTCTCCGGTTGCGGCTATCACGGCTGCTCTCTGGTTGCGGCTGTCACGGTACCCTCTAGCCCTACACCCACTGCGGATCTACTCTCACCTTGCGATGGTGCTATGGCCTGCGCGTTAACGCCGCTGCCGCCGCCGGTGCCGGCGGGCAGGCGAGACGGCATGGCCCCTGCGAGCATGATGGCGCCCAGCAGAATCGGAACGCGACGCCAGCGAGGGACGCGCAGCGGCTTCCTGGGGGGACGCGAAAGGCATGCTAAGGGTAGCAGCAGCAGCAGTGGTAGATGGAAGCGCGAGAGTGGGAGAGGTTGCCGCGACCGACTTTGGAGAGGATGATAATTAGGGTGGTAATATTGCTGAAAATGATGATGGTAATGATGGCGATGGCGTCGTAATGATGACCGCGAGCGGCATTCCATGAGGAGGATAGGACGCGAGGGTCGTACTAACTGGGTAGTCTAACCGCTCGTTAGAAAGACGAGCCCTTACTGACAATCTGTTCTTGTAACGAGAGGACGATGAAGCCTTACTACTAAGGGTGTGTGGCAAGTAGCTTCAAAACGACGGGGCCGATGGGACGGGAGCGGAGGGGTGGAAACCCGTCGCACAGCGGTGTTCGCACGCGCTTCGTAAAACTCCGTGTGGCAAGTGATCACTGCAGAAGCAAAGCATGGGAGAGGAGCGAAATTTCTGGGCAAAATAGGAACAGCCTGGTCACAAAAAAAGAGCCTGACTGGCTGCCCTATGCGAGCTGGCGAAGAAGCCTCCCAGGAGCAATCGACATTCCAAACCGATAGGGCAACACGCAACACAGCCAATCACAGGGGTTTGTGCTGTGGCGATTGTGGTTGGGTTCGCGAATTTTGCGATGGTCGCAACTTCGCAGTTTGCCAATCTGCAGTTTTGTCAGGGTCGCATGTTGGGTTAATTTCGTTCCGGGCAGCGAATACACTCCTGTCCGTGTGGCAAGTGGCCTCAGTAGCATCAAAACGAACGGAGCTCCCGTTCCATGTTTCGGGAGTTCGGGAGCGGAACGACGGGAGGAGCGGAGCGGAAACAATCGGAATTCTACTTGCCACACGCCCTAAGACTAGTGGCTGTAAAGCGTGACCTGCTTCGTGTCTGCTGCTGACAGTTGGGGACCATGCGGGCCGAAACGGTGACATCGCAGAAGAATGACCTAAAAATGTTAGGCTTCCCATAAATACACGAGTCCCATTTGGGGGAAGCCGTGCGACGCTCCGTGCCTAGCTAGACAGTCTAGACTAGACGCAGATGAGGCAAAAGCTACGTGGCCACGGGCAACGAGACACTATCTGGAGGTTCCAGTCAATTGGGACTACAGTGATGCATGAAACTGTATACGAGTCGCGAAGTCGCGCGAAGCTCGTTGAAATCGCGATAACTGATGCACAGTGCTCGCCAGCTGACGAAACAGTGTGTCGCAGACTGAACAAGACGTCGCGAAACAAAAAGTCGCGAATTGTGGTCACCCGCCTAAAGGGCTTGCCACTGATTGGTAAACAACCTCCCTATAACCAATCTGAGGCCCTGGTCATAAGTGTTGTGTATTCCCCCCTATTAGAAAAATGGCTCAAATACCGTATTCCCCTGTATACAACACCCTGCAAAATTTAACTCCCATGGGTAGTTTGAGCGGACATGGGTGCTTTATTAAAGTGGATATTGATAACACCCGCCTTCGGCAATTGCAAACATTTGAACACCCCTCTGCTTTATAAAATGTTATTTTTTAGTTATAAACAGAGCAACGAACATCAGACGTTAGATATCCTACGAATCCCATACAGCGCTGCCTACAGAACCAACTCCTATTGCAGATTCTCATACTGCATGATCAGGTTCTACTGATGCTAGTTCAGATTCTTCTACACCTTCTCCTACACACGTTGCGCAACGGCACATTCTCCTACTGCATCCCCCGCTAAAGCGTCTCGAGCAACTCGTGTTGCTTCCTCTCCCATCTTGTGGCTAGTCGTCGGCTTCAGCATCTGCAGCATCACCATCACAGTCTTCAACATTAGCATCCTCCTCATCAAGATCCACAGCATGCTAGATCTCCACATCCTCTTCATTCGCGACCTCATCCCACCAGCGGTCGTCATCATCCTCCCTAGCAATCCCCTATGCCGGCCACTCCCAAACAGGATCATCCAGCGGGCCCTCCCCCTCACATGCCAGCTCTTCAAGTTGGGCGTCAGCGGCGTTATCGTCCTCATCGAAGTCGGGGGCGTCCACGGGGGGCTCAACAAAGCAATCGTTGTACAGGGGGTTGACGTACTCATCCTCCCCCTCCTCCCCGTGCATGTCGTCCATGATCTCCACCTCTGCCTTGGTGCGGAGGTGGCTTAGGACGAGCCGATCTTCGGAGCCACTGAGGTCGTTGGCAATACCGCAGGTCCTGAAGCTCTTGCGCATGAGCTCCTCGGGGACTGCATCCTATGAGCGAGCAATCCACTTGAGGATCAGCTCCGGTGGGAGCTTCTTCAGATTTCCTGGAAGACACGGGACACATATGCTTTCGTTAGTCTTGTCGTGACACTTGCGTTACGCCCAGTAAGAAAGGGACCAGAGACAGTGCTGAAGGAATAGTGGACCGTACCTTGCTTGGTCTTGAGATTGATGCCGAATCTCTCAAACCATCCGCCTTAATCACTTCGAACGCCTGCCTTGAAGCACTTGTTGACCGAGACGTCAAGGGGCTGCACTAGCGGCGTGCAGCCTCCCGGGATAACGACGCGGGTAAACTTGAAAAGGCGCATCGTCTCTCTCATCGCCTCCGTCAGGTGACCCTTGTAGGAGTCTAGGACGACGAGTGTGTCCTTCCTCCTCCCATTCGCTTCGCGCAATGGTTTCGTGAATGGGTTCAGGGTTTGGGTGACCCAGTCCTGAACATGCTTCCTGTCCATCCAGCCCTTGTTTTGGGCGCGGTTGATTACTCCTGCATCAGAAAACAGTTTAACGTATGTTAGAACTCAGATTACCGAGGCCACCAGAATCGATATCAGCTTTGAGAAGGGGGATATCTTACCAGCCGGGACTTGAAGAAACAATCTTCCTTTGAAGATGACGTATAGCGTGAGCTTCTTCCCCGATGCCGTCACCGCCAGCATCACAGTGATCTTTCCTTCTCATAGCTCGCGGTCCTCACGTGAACCGTGCGCGCCCCCTTGTGGTCCAAGGTCCTCTCGTGTGGCATCTCGATGAAGAGTGATGTCTGGTCCGCGTTCACAAATAGTTCGTCGCTGTACTTCTTCTGGATGCGCATCTGCTTGACGAATTCCCAAAACTTTTCAATCTTCACCCTCATATCTGCATTCATAAACACAAGGACACGAGCATGAATTAGATTGTAGGCCTAGGCAATGTCTAAACAGGCAAGGAAGCTTGAATAAATAGCATCCACCAGCCAAACTTACTATCAAGCTAATTTCTGACCCATCTTCGTTTTAATACGGCGCACTAGACCCCATCGGGCGCGAAACCGGAAGGTCCACCGATTGGACCTGCATCCGTCCACGCCAGGATGGTGCACTCGCATATAGGTGCGACTCCACTTCTGCAGCTGCGAGACCGAGACTGCGAGCCGCTTGGACCGATGCCTCAAGAACCGTCGATAGAGAACCGATTCTTTCCTGGGTACTTAGCCGGTCGACCGCCACCGACAAGCCTCAACCAGCCTCAACTCTCAGTCGCTCCCGGGCCTTCTTCCATTCTCGAATGTTAACGAGCTGAACACCTGCAAGCTTCGCGAGGGCACGAATAGTTAGGTCAGGCTGTGCGTCAAACATCGCGAGTCAATACAGCTTCTCAATAGCGGAATAGGAGCGACATGCTCGTTTTGTCATTCAGGTGTGGGGGGACGATGGATTCACATCGTGGTTGATGGTCGGTCCTCTTGGCCTGGCAACGGTTGACGGGAATGAGGCGAAAGTAACACGAAGGAGCGAACGGCGCTCCTGGCTGGCACCACTAGCCCCCCCGTCAGCAGTTGTGGCCTTGTTGCTAGTTGTGCGGAGCGAGCTCCTAGGCGGAGATGAACTAGACGATCGCGGGACAGGACGATTGAAATATTTCTGCCGGCCATAAGGGCCGCGTTGGGCAAGAAGGCGACTAAGACCAGAGCCCGTAGTCATGGAGCCGGTAGGCTAGGAGGATAAGGGCAGAGAGCCTAAGATGCCTTCGACAGTCCATACTGGAGGAGTTTTGAGAGCATCCTGATCTCGGATGCAGGAATGAGGAGACGAAGTAGGCTATACCCCTCGTGAAACAACGAGGGTGGAGAGGAGAGGGACTTGAGCGCCTCCCTTGTCATGCCACACACGACACCCCCGTCAGGACCATCCAGCGCTCACGTGCTGGAAGCATCTTGAAGACTCCGTCTAGATGCCCCATGGTACCCTGCCAGATTCATCGACTCCAGCATGTTGGCATCGAGACGAGGTGCACTGGCACACATCAGACAGGTAGCTGAGGAATCGGCGCAAACAGAAGACCCTGATTGGCTGCTAAACTCACCCTTGGGTGACACATGATCCCACTTGGCATGCCCCCGAGCCTTATCATCTCGTATGCGGTCAGAAGTCAGTTCAGCAGGTTTCCAAGGTCTGGATTAAGAACCCCTGTTTATCTCCACATTGAATCCCTTAAACTATAAAATGCATGTTGCACAACACCCAGGCGTTATGCGATTTTAGCCACTAATTACACCCATCTAAAAAATTTGAGGCATTTTGGTTACCACCCTAGGGTGCTTTATACGGGGGCAGGGCCTCAGATTGCAGGCTTTTTATCCTGATTCAGGGTAAAATCAGGGTTTTTTTCGGGGGTGACCCTGATGAGACACAACTTTTTTTTAACACAGGACTGAAATTTCAGCGTTTTTTAAGAAGTGAATGTCGTGCTTCTCCCTTCTCTCCCCTTTACTCCACCTATCCTTCCTCATTGCCTTTCTTCTCCCCTTTATATCCCTTCCGCCTCTGGTAGGTTATTATTGGGGCTGTGGGACCGAGCTCTCCTGTTACAAGCCGCATGCTGCCTGCTTGGATCTACTTGAGATCGAATTCCCGCACTGCTAGACTCCAGTAAGATTAGAGCAAATTACAGTATAGAAGGAAAACATACAAGCGAAAAGCGATAGTCCTACTGAGTTGCCTCCTATTTATACGTCCAAGTCTCTCTCCTTCCTCTCCCTCCTCCTTGTTATCCCCTTGAGAACTGAGATTGCCCTCGGCCCAGCTTCTCGTCAGATTAGTCCCTTGCTGACGCACTTCCCCTTGTTCCTGCTCACGCCTCGATACTCCGGCATTCCAATTTCTCCACCCTTGATTCGCTCATTACCGAGCTACTACAGTACTCTACTGTACCTCTCTTTGTCCAGCCTATAATTTTCTTGTATATCCAATCCCTGCTTCCAATTCTTCTCTTTCCTCCACTCACCACTTCCTTTGCTGCTGTGTTAACCGTGGGAAGGCTCATGTCTTTCCGCAGGTAATGCGACAGCTATCGTGCTTCTCCCTTCTCTCCCCTTTACTCCACCTATCCTTCCTCATTGCCTTTCTTCTCCCCTTTATGTCCCTTCTGCCTCTGGTAGGTTATTACTGGGGCTGTGGGACCGAGCTCTCCTGCCCCCTCCCTGGTCGAATCGGACTCCTTGTTCGTTTCCGCTCTGGGACTCTTCTGCTTGGTCCGCATCTCTCCGGCTACTGCTACATTTGTCACATGCTCTCTCCTCGTCTCCCCCTTCTCATTCTCTAGCACTAACACTCCCGATGAGCGCATTTCCTTGACGCGCCACCTCTCACTTCCTACTGGTAGCTCCAATGTATTTTTCCGCGCCTTTCTCAGATATACCTCTCTTCCCACGGTCACGTTACTGGATGTCCCTCCTGTCACTCGTTCTCGGCGTTGCTGGTATCTGCGTGCATCTCTCAGCTGCGCGGTATGCAGATTCTCCAGCGCTGCTGGCATCAGCTCCTTCAAGTACTCCCCTCTTCGCATAGCTGCTGCTGCCCATGCTTCCGCCGACTCTTCGTTCATTGGCTCGGTAAGTAGCTTAGGCACATCCACGGGCAGCACTAGCTCTCTGCCATACAGCAAGTGGTATGGAGACATGTCCTTCAGGGCTGATCGCTTTGCGAACCGATAGCCCGCCAGCACCCATGGCAGCTCTGTATCCCACTCTCTCTTCTTCTGTTCTCTGTACACCCGCAATCCTTTCTTGATCGTGTGTATCATCCGCTCGATCAACCCGTCAGACTGAGGATGGTACCGCGACGTCACTCTGTGAGTGATGCCTGCTTCTTTCAAGAGTTCAGCAAAGCTGCCTTGGAACTCCGTGCCTTGATCTGTCAGCACTTCCCCGCATGCGCCATATCTGGTGAGCACTTGGTCCAGAATTGCCTCCCTTATCAGCCCACTGTTCTTGCTGGCTATGGCTCTTGCCTCCACCCACTTGGTCATGTGCTCTATCATCACCACTATGTACATCTTCTCTCGTCTGGATAACGGTAATTCACCTGCCAGGTCCAAAGACCACCTGAATCCTAAGCCACGTATGGGCAAAGACTGCAGCTCTTCCCTCCCCTTCTCCAGCGCTGCCTTGTTCCGCTCGCATGCCTCGCACCCCTGCACCCACTGCGCCACGTCTCTTCTCATCCCCGTCCACCAGTACGTGGTTTGTAATAGCTGCCTAGTCCTGGCTCCCCCGTAATGCCCCAGCTTCTCGTGCACTTGCTGTACGATACGCTCTCTCTCCTCTGGCCTTGGTACCATTTTCCATCCCTCTGTTGTCCGCAGCTGCATCTGACTCTGAAACCACCGGTAGTGTCCTCCTCGACACCTCGCTCTCGCCGTCACTGCTGCTGCATCCTCCGTCAGCCCTTGCACCCAGTGCAATGTCTCCTTGTCTTGCCAGATGTCCTCTACTCTTTGCTCCTTCGCCTCCTGCGCCAAATCGTACTCTTGCAATCGCATTGCCCATCGGGCATTCCACCCCATCAGCGTCTGATTAGTCATCAGCCATAAGAGCGGCTGGTGGTCTGTTACTAACGTGAATTTGCGCCCTTGCAAGTAGGCCCTGAAGTGGGTTACTCCCCACACTGCTCCCAATCCTTCACCCTCGTATGAACTGTAGTTAGCTTCCGTTGCTGTGCAGCTTCGGCTGGTGTACGCCACCACTCGTTCTTCTCCTTCCAGCTCTTGACACAGTACTGCTCCCATGCCCATGCTGCTCCAATCCGTGTAGATTGTAAATGGAGCGTCTTTCTTTGGCAGCTGCAGCACCGTCCCTGCTTTGATGGCCTCTAACAAGTCCCTTCTCGCCTGCTCTTCCTCTGATCCCCACTTCCATGCTTGCTCTTCTCTCAGAAGCTGATTCAGCCTGTATGCTCTCTTGCTGAAGTTCGGGATGAAGCGCCGGTAGTAGTTCAAGAACCCCAAGAGTGCTCTCAGTGCTCCCTTGTCCTTCGGTGTCCCCAGTTTGTCTAGCACCGCCACCTTGGCCTCCTGAATCCCCATCTTCCCGCCTTGCACCTCAAATCCCAGGTAGGCCACTGTCTTTCTGGCTATCTTGCACTTTTCTGGATGGCAGGTCAGCCCTGCGTCTGCTATAGCATCTAGTGTCGCCTTCAGGTGCTCAGCATGTTCTTCTTCGCTCTTGCTAAAAATCACTACATCGTCAATGTAGCACGCCACTGCTGGCACTGTCTTCAGCACTTGGTCCATGACTCTCTGGAACACGGCTGATGCGTTCCTCAGCCCAAACGGCATCATGTTCCATTCGTACAGGCCGTCAGCTCCATGAAAGGCAGTCTTGCCTTTATCTCCTCCTTTTATTGCTATCTGATTGAATCCCTGCCGCATATCCAAAGTGGAGAATATGACCGCGCCTTCTAGCCTGTCAAAAATCTCCTCTGCAGTTGGCATGCTATATCGATCAGCTCTCGTTACTCGATTGAGCTCTCGGTAGTCGCCGCACATTCTTCTCGCTAGCACCTCTCCTGTAAGGTCGGTCTGCGCTGCTACCACCGTTGTTGCCGCGTAGGGTGAGTTAGAAGGGCGTATCAGTCCCGCCTCTAATCTCTGCATTTGCTTCAGCAGATCTCTTTGTCTCCCGGACTCATCCGTCGTCTCCGCTGGTAGATGGGCTTCACGACGCGCCAGGCTGTCAATATTTTTTCGCCTCGAGCACACATTGGCTATTACTCTCGCGCAACCAATAGGATCTGTGCAATCCTCTTTTGTTTTCGGACAGTTACAAATTTCGGGGCACTGGGAAGTTTCGTTTTTTCGCCAGGTTTTGGGATTTTTTTGCACCCACTCAACAATCAAGAGGGACCCCCCTCTGCCATTTTGCCGTCGGGTTTTAAACAGCGTGTTTTCTGTAGTTGAACCTGTTTATTCAGCGCAGAATTTATACGTAATTTTCGTAACACCCTGATTGATCAGCGTAATTTTGTTTGCGAGGCCTGAAAAAACAGGGAGCTACGAGGGGGGGACCCTGAGCGATCAGCGTGCCCCAAAACGAATCTGAGGCCCTGTACGGGGGAATACGGTAGTGTCCCTTGGCTAGGTGGATATCGGGCTTGCAGATCCACTATTCTAACAGGCTGCGACATGGCGTGCATGCAGCCTCACATACTCCCCATTGCGCTCCATGAGCTGCTCGTGTGTGCCGGCCTGAGAGCACCAACCAAATGGAAACTGCGTGTTAGCAGCAAAACAGCAGGCCTGGACACACGCCCCTGATTCAACAGAGCGCTTTGCATGTTCACATCCTCCTCCCCCCTTCCCTCCTCCCCCCACTCCCCCCCCCCCCCCCACTTCCTCCCCCTCCCCTGCCCCAGGGGCAGTTTGATACAGTCATCCACTGACCTCAACGATTCTGCCTGCCGCGATGACCACTATTCTATCCGCACTGCGGATTGTGGATAGCCTGGTGATGGCAACAAGAATGTCATAGATGGCGATTGGAGTGGGAAGAGAGTGAAACAAGCAGAGTAAGGAAGAGAGCGCATAGCAGGTGGTGAGGAGCATGGCAGGTGGTGAGGAGCATGTAGCCATGCCAAGGATGTGGTAGTAACGGGAGGAAATATTGACAGCCCGACAGAAGTGACATATTGAGCAGCTCGCCGCAACAAACATACCTGTGAGCAATCACTATGATGGTTCGCCTTCTGCTGCCATGTGCATCGGCATCCCCATGAATGGCCTCGTCCAATGCCCTCTGCACATGCACATGCAATAGTCAATGAGAACACAAGCATATCAATAGATCAACGGAGCAGCAGGAGGAAATGGGAGCTTGCCACACGGGAACCAGGAGTTTCCAACATGGGAAAACAGGATTTGCAACATGGGAGCATGGGAAACGACAGCAGCAGCCTGCCCCCAACGGGAAAAAATTAACACCCCGCCACTTCATCATGTCACATCTCACCCACCTGGACATAGTGCTCGCTCTCTGCATCCAGAGCACTCGTGGGCTCGTCCAGAAACAGCAGAGTGGGGTCGCGCACTAGAGCACGCGCGATTGCGATTCTTTGCTTCTGCCCGCCACTCAGCCGCGCGTTGTCCACCACAGTGTCATAGCCCTGGGGCAGCCCGGAAACAAACTGATGCACATTGGCCAGGGTCGCTGCCCGGCGAATGTCCTCGTGAGAAAGTTCCTCGCTGCTTCCGTATGCAATGTTGGATGCCACGTCTGTGCTGAACAGGCAGGGCTCCTGAAGATGCAGGGGGTGGAGTGAGAGTACAGGGAGTGGTGTGAAGTGGTTAGAAGTGGTGTAGAGTGGTGTGGAGAGTGGTGCGGGTGGTGTGGTAGAGTGGTGTGGAGGGTACATGTGTCAGTGCACAGGTGTGGATGGTCCACATGCACATGGCCTGTACATGGAGTGTGTGCTGTGTGGTGGGCAGAGAGAGTATGCTAGATAACGGCTTCCTTCCAGCTGCTTGACCATGGAATAGAGATGGGCAGTCGAAGCGCGTAATTCCTAGCCTCATTTACTCACCTTCGAAAACCCGAGCAACGAGGCGGACTGCCTAAAAAAATACTCGACCTGAGGTGAGGCGAGTAAACTCGTTGAGTACTTGACGCCTGCAGAGGGCGAGTACAAAAATGCTCGCAAGTAATAGTTCAAGTCGAGCAATTTGTTTACTCGCATCAAATTTGTCCCAGCGCGCCTCATTTACGTGTTTTTTTATTTGCGATATGCTCTTATTCCGTGGCCGTGGTTGCGGTTTCAGGCATCTCCAACATGCCTGTACTTTTATAGCGCAGAAAAATGTCACGCTTATTCATAAAGGGATGGAATAAATGCATCCCGAGGCAAGTAATACTCTCCCCGGATGGGTAATTTTCACTCGCTCCGAGTAATAGGATTAGATGCCCTAAAAACGAGTAAACGAGGGGCACTGGGGAAATTACACACCTCGAGTAATGCTGGCCTTGCCTAATGCCCATGTCTACTGTGGAATGGGATCAAGTGCAGGGGAGAGGGGTCTCTTTGAGCTTTCTCAACGCGGCCCTGCGGCTCGAGGAAGAGGGCGAGGGAGGGGAGGCGAGGTCACCTGGCTGACCACGCCGATGTGCCTTCGGAGCCACGCAATGTCCATCTCTGGTAGAGGCACGCCGTCTATAAGCACCTGCAAACAAGTGGACATCAGGAGTTGCGCAGAATTAAAAAAAAAGATATATATTGAATCCACCTACTACAGGCACCCGGACCATAAACCTTGAACCCCCAGCTCGTACAGTCATTGCAACAGCCCCACCAGAGTGGTTCTGAAGCGGAAACTCTGAACCTGAAATCCCAAATGTGCAACCCTGGCCCCTACCGCCCGTCTCACCTGCCCGTCTCACCTGCCCCTCTCACCTGCCCGTCTCACCTGCCCGTCTCACCTGCCCCTCTCACCTGCCCGTCTCACCTGCCCCACTCACCTGCCCGTCTCACCTGCCCCTCTCACCTGCCCCTCTGTGGGGTCGTATAATCGCTGCAGCAGCGCCAGCAGCGTGCTCTTGCCACTGCCATTGCGCCCCACCAGCGCCACGCGCTCGCCTGGATGGATGGTCAGGTTGAACCCATCCAAGACAGGTGACTGCAGGAGGGTGGTGGAATCTCAGTTTTCTGAGGAGCCTCAAACACAGGCCGTTGCGCCCCACCAGCGCCAGCAGCTCGCCTGGATGGACGGTTGTGATCCAAGACGGGTGATTGCAGGGGGGTGCGGGGGAGGGGAGGGAGATACGTGAGAGGGGAGGGAGGTACGTGGTTGGAGTGGTTGGAGTGGTTGGAGTGGTCGGAGTGGTTGGAGCCCCCGAGCACCAAGACCACAATATTGGAACCACGCAAGTGGCTCCCATGGTGGTTGGGTACTGTTCCTACCCAACTGCATGTGGTACTGATTATCTTTCTCTTGTTAGCTTCCCTTCCTTCCCAACTTTCCTATGTATGCTCCTGATTCTACTACTCGAATAACTTCAATTCTTTCATGGTATCAGAGCTCTAAGCCTCACACAACATCCCGTTTTTTTTCCGATCCTTGCCCTCCATTCCTCAGCTGTAGTCACGACCCCCAGCGAGGGATTCCCGCTTCCGTCGTCCTGCTCTCCCTCCTAGCCGGCAAACTCGCCGCCCCTTCCTACTCGTCAATCTTCCCGCTCCCTGCTCGCCGCTCGCGACCAGCCGCCGGCTCGTCGCTCGCCGCAGCCTGCGCGCTGTCCCGCGGGTCCCCGCTCGCCGCTCGCCACACGCCCCGCGCTGCTCGCGGCTCGTCGCCAGCCGCTCGCACGCCGCTCGCCGTTCACGCCCAGCCGCCAGCTCGTCGCTCGCTGCCACCTGCGCGCCGTCCTGCGGCTCCCCGCTCGCCGCTTGCCGCACGCACCGCGCTGCTTGCCGCTTGCTGCTGCTCGCACGCCGTTCGCCTCTCGCGACCAGTCGCCAGCTCGTCGCTCGCCGCTCGCTACCACTTGCGCACCGTCCCGCAGCTTCCTGCTCGCCGCTCGCTGCACGCTCCTCGCCGCTTGCTGCTCGCCGCCAGCCGCTCGCACGCCGTTCGCCGCTCGCGACCAGCCGCCAGCTCGCCACTAGCCGCTCGTCGCTCGCCGTTCGCCGCCAGCCGCCCGCTCGCCGCTTGCCGCTAGCCGCTCGCCGCCAGCCACCAGCTCGCCGCACGCCGCCCGCTGCCAGCCATCAGCTCGCTGCACGCTGCTCACCGCCAGCCTCCAGCCCGCCGCCGCTTCTCCCTCCAGCAGCCGCCGCCACTTCCCCTCCCCCCCCACAGCCTCAGCTGCTCCTCTCCTCCGCAGCAGCCACCGCCGTCGCTGTCACCAGCCGCTGCCGCTGCATCACCAACCGGCTGCCACTGCCGCTTCTCCTCTCCTCAGCAGCTGTCGCGGCCGCCCGTCTCACCCACAGCCGCCGCCGCCACTCGTGCCAACGACTGCCGTCGCTCCAGCCGTCGCTCCTGCCAGCAGCCGCCGCCGCCGCTGCACCTCTGCCGTGCCGCCACCCCCGCTGCAATCCTCCCCTGCAGCCGCCGCCACCGCTCTGTCGCCAGCCGCCGCAGCTGCTCTTCTCTTCGGCAGCCGTCGCCGCTGCTCCATCGAGCCGCCGCTCCCCTTTTGAGCCGCACGGATCAACCCGTCGTTGCTCCTTCCTCGTGCCGCCGCGAGCACGCTCGCCGCTGCCGCGTCTGTGAGCCGCGCCGGTCCACCCGCTGTCGCTCCATTCCATGCCGCCGCCGCCTCCCCGAGCCGCGCGGGTCCAATCGCAGTCGCTCCTCCCTGTGCCGTCGCGCGTTTCCTGCTCGCCGCCGCCGCTTCGTGAGCCGCGCGGGTCCACCCGCTGTCGCTCCTTGCCGTGCCGCCGCGAGTTTCCTTGTTGCAGCTGTCTTCTCGAGCCGCGCGGGTCCACCCGTCGTCACTCCCTCCTCTTGCCACTGCGAGCACGCTCGCTGCCGCCGCTTCCTTGAGCCGCGGAAGTCCACCCGCTGTCGCTCCTTGCCGTGCCGCCGCAAATTCCCTCGTCACAGCCGTCTTCTCAAGCCGCGCGGGTCCACCCGCTGTCGCTTCACACCGTGCTGCCACGAGCCTTCCCGCTGCTGCCGCCTTCCCGAGCCACGCGGGTCCACCCGCAGTCGCTCCTCTCTGTGCCGCCGCGCACGCTCTGCTCGCTGCTGCGCCGCTGCCCAAATTCATGGCGTCCTTCCCTCATCCGTCGACAAGCTCCTGCTGGCCGCAAACAAGTCCGCCACCAACTGGTACTCTTTCGTTGGGAGTTTCCGGCGAGTCCTCGGCGGCGCCTGGGTCCAGCCGTACAAGCTGCTCGACATCCTCGAGCGTAAGGCTCCGGCCCTTCGCCCCACCATGCCCGTCGATCCTAGTCCCGAGCCTGATGTCCCTCGCGACCCTGGTGATCCGCCACAGCGACCCGAGGTCCCTCCCGCGCAGCTGGACAACCCTGAGGCCGAGCGTGTTGCCGAAGAGACCTATGACGATGCCCGCCAGAAGTTCCTGCAGCGGCGCGCCGAATACAAGTTCAAGAAGCTGGCATTCGACCTCGCTTCCGAACATACCGCGGACCATCGCCTGCAAGCCGTCCACTATGCACAGCAGAAGGCGACCTATGCTGTCGCCATCGCTGCATGGTGTGAGGCTGACCTGCGCACCTCTACCACCGTCCTCGGCGCTCTCCCCGTCGACATGATGCGGCGCTTCCAAGCTCGAGAGCTCCCTGCCGCTCAGTTGTGGACTAGGCTCCATGCCATGTTCGAGCGCCGCGACATCGGTTGGCTGGGCATGCTGTTTCGCGAGTACAACAACATCACGCTCGACAGCAGCCATGGCGCTGTCGATTTCACCAGCCGCCTCCTCGACATTGCCTCTTGTCTTGAGGTTCGTCGTGTCGTCCTGCCTCCTCAGCTCCACATGCACAACCTCCTCCACGGCCTCACCCCTCAGTACGACACGCGCATCATCGCGTTCACTGAGAACGACCCCATGCAGACCTCCCCACTGTCGTGCAATGGATCATCGACATCGAGGTCAAGTTTCTCCAGGAGCCCACCGCCACTCTCCACGCTGCCCAGCCTGCCTCCGCCAAACTCAACGACGTCCCCAGCCGCTCCCGTGGTGGCCGCCCTCGTGGTGGCCGTGGAGGTGGCCGTGGTGCCGGAAGTGGCAGTGGGGGAAGCGGTGGGACTGGCCCCAGCAGTGCCGCCTCTAGAGCGGCACCTGGCGGCCATGGAGGCCGTCCTGGCACACTCCCTCCTTGCCAGTACCTTCGTCGCCAGGGGCATAAGGCTGGTGAACGCTGCCTGCAGACCAACCACCCCATCGACACGTGCTTCAAGGCACTCGATGATGCGTGGTTTGATCGCGGCAACACAGGCACCCCGCCCCGCTGATCAAACATCACCCCTCGCCCTATATGAAGGCCCTACCTTCCTTCTTGCCAGCGCACCTCCAACTTGGCGCCTCCTCCATCCCCTCTCCCTCGTCGCAGCAGCTGCTCCAGTTCCAACAGTTCCAGCAGTTCCAGCAGCAGCAGCAGCAGCCGTGGGGTGCCGGCAGCCAGGCGACCGCAGCAGCAACAAGTGCCGCCGCCGCCACTGCCGCCTGGCAGCAGCAGTAGCTCAGTCTCGGCTCCGCCGCCATGGCCACCCATGCCTCCACCGGCCCCCCTGTCTACCCCCTCTGGGGATCCATCCCCTCCGCTCCCCCCAGTGGCCTTGCCACTCCCACTTCCCAGACTAGTTTCTTGGGTCATCTCACCAATGCACCTCCTGCTTTGCCCTCAATGTATCCCTCTGCTTTTAATGCGACCGATTTCCAGTATCCCGTGTCCCTCAGCTCATCCACCTCCTCCCTCTTGCCTCCCACTGTGGACTTTGTCCTTGACAGCGGCGCCACTGAGACGGCCCTAAAAGACGCCGGCACTCTTACCTCTCTCCCCTTCCCCACCAGTGTCCATGGCGTCGATTCGAGTTTCTCCATCCCTTGCACCCACCTTTCCACGCTCCCTTGTCCTCCCTTGTCCTCCCTTCCCCTCTCACACTGTAACTAGCCTCCACATTCCCACCCTCCGACAGAATCTCCTCTCCCTCCGTGAGTTGCAGCATGCCAGCATCACTGCCACTTTTTCTGCATTCGCCACTCACAGCGACCTCTTCCAAGGCGTCTCTAACCGCCTCTTTCATCGTCTTCCTCTCTGTCCCCGTACCTGCCAGTACATCCTCCGCGTTCCGTTTCCCTCCTCTTGCCACGCCACCACTTCGCGCTGGCACTACCATCTCCCCTCCCCTCCCTCCCCCCTCGCCGCCCCTCCCCACCTCCGCTCCTTCTCCCTGCTCCTGCTGTCCTGCTCCACCATCGCCTAGGCCATCCTAATTTTGCTACACTTCGCGCAGCAGTCTCCTATCGCCTCCTCCACGGCCTCCCCCCTTCACTCCCTCCTCTCCCCTCCTCTCCTGCCCCTGCCTGCTCCTCTTGCATCCATGGCAAGCTAAAGCCATTCCCCCATCATAGCCATCCCTCCTTTGCTACCTCCCCCATTGATCTCGTTCACATGGATCTCTAGGGACTCAATCTCTCCTCCTTCCGCCACAGCCACAGGTACATGCTCGTTCTCGTTGATGACCACAGTTGCTACTCCTCAACTTTCCTTCTCCAAACGAAAGCTGAGGCATCCGTTAGCCATCATCCGATTTGTTGAGCAAGCTTGTACCCACTTCGACCGCTCTGTTCGCCGCTTCCACTCTGACGGCAGGGGGGAGTTCCTTAACCATACCCTCTCTTCCTACTGCACCACGCACGGCATCCAGCAGACCCACACTCTCCCCCATTCCCCCCAGCAGAATGCTGTTGCCGAGAGTCGCATTCGCGAAATCACAAAGACAGCTCGCTGCCTCCTCACCCAAGCCTCTCCCCCACCCTCCTTCTCGGGCTATGCCCTCATCCATGCTGCTCTCATCTTCAGCACACCTCCTCCACTCCCACAGAGTTATGGGCCTCGTCCAAGCCCGATGCGGCAGTCCTCCACGTCTGGGGATGCACGGCGTTTGTCCTCATCCCCTTCTCTGGCCGCTCGCGCTCGACTGGCAAACTTGCCTCCAAGGCCCTGGAGTGCATTTATCTGGGGCATGCTCGCGACTCCCCCGGCTACCACTTCCTCCACTCTCCCTTAGGCCGTTTCCTCAAGAGTCGCGACGTCACGTTCGATAAGAGTGTCCCATACAACACCTCCCCTCCCCCTGCTAATCCCCTCCCCGCTCCTTCCCGCCCACTCACCTGGGCTGACGCCGTTCTCCCCCCGCTCCTTCCCCAAGCTACCCTCCTCCCTCCTCCCCCTCCCCCATCTCCACCTCTGCCCCCTCCTCCACCCCCTCTATCCTCCGGCGACGTCTACGATCCCGTTGCTCCGGCTTCCCCCGCCCACTCTGTCGCCGATCCTCCCTCCTCCCAGCCGCCGCAGCAGCCGTCACCGCAACAGCAGAACCAGCCGGACCAGCAGCAGCAGCAACAGGATCAAGAGGACCAGCAGCAGCAGCCGGGGGACCAGCAGCAACAGCAGGACCAGCAGCCGCAGCCGCAGCAGCAACAGCAGCAGAACCAGCAGCAGCGGCCGCAGCAGTGCCAGCAGCACCCGCTCCCCCCACCACTTGGTGGAGGCCAGGTCTCTGCTTCGTCTCCTCCGGTGCGCCGCCCCACATCCTCTCCCTTTCTCCTCCCGCATGTTCACACGTGCTCCATGGACCCTATCCTTGGCCTCCCCTTCAACCCCTCCGCTCCCCCACAGGAGGACTCCCACGCGGAGTTCATCGCCATTCAGCAGCATGCTCCACACCTCTCCGCTCTACACGGGCTTCCGTGGCTTCCTGCTACTCGGCGCGTCCTCCTCCCTCCCCATCTACGACGCCACCGACTTTTGGGAAGCCATCACTAGCCCCGATCGTGACAAGTGGATTCCCGCTGTCTTCTGCGAGGTCGAAGTGTTCATTCGCAACAGCTTGTTTGTTCACGTGATTCCTCCTCCCGGCGCTAACATCGTCGAAGGGAAAAGAGTCTTCTGGGTGAAGCAGTTGCCTGGCGAGGAGCCGGTCTACAAGGCCCGCTACTGCGCCAAGGGATTCACCCAGACTTGGAGCGTCGACTAGTGGGACACTTTCTCCCCCACAACCAAACTCCCCACCATTCGGGCCTTCCTCGACTTTGCTGCTCGCATGTCCATGGTCATCTGCTGCATGGACGTCTCTAATGCGTTCCTGCAAGTCCTCATGCGGCGACCCCCGGGATTTCATGCTGCCTTTCCGCCCAACACCGTCTGGGAGCTTCAGCGCCCTGTGTACGGCTTGAAGCAGGCACCTCGCGAGTGGCATGCCAAATTGGCTGCCACCCTTAAGGACATGGGCTTCCGTGCCGCCCACTCCGATGCCAGTCTCTTCCTCCGTGCCGCCCCCAGCCGCTTCTTCATCCTCGTCAGTGGATGACATGATCCTCATAGCCGATGAGGAAGCTGACATAGTGAAGGTCAAGGCCGAGCTTCAGACCCGCCTTTAGTGCAAAGACCTGGGCGCACTGAAGAACTACCTCGGCATGACCATCACACGCGACCTGGAGGCCCGCACCATCACGCTGTCCCAGTCGTTCTATATCGACCAGGTCCTGGAGCGGTTCACCATGACACATGCCAAGCCTGTGTCCATCCCCCTGCCCATTGGTTACCAGCTTGCGCCTTCCTCCTCTCCCTCCGCCTCTGATCACCCTATGCCGAGCTTGTCGAGTCCCTCATGTACGACATGATGTGTACGCGCCCCGACCTCGCATACCCCATCAGTGTCCTCGCCCGGTTCGTTGGTACCGCCCGGCACACTCTAACACACTGGGCCGCTGCCAAGAGAGTCCTCTGCTACCTACGGGGCACCAAGGACTATGTCCTGACCCTTGGCGGCACCTCCCCTCCTCTCCTCACTGGCTTCAGTGACTCCTAGTGGGCCGATTCTCAACCCGACCGCCGCTCCTCCCAGGGCTATGGTTTCACCTTGGGGAGTGGCCTCATCAGCTGGCGTTCCACCCGCTCGTCCACCATCGCCCTCTCCTCGTGCGAGGCCGAGCTCTATGCCGGCACTATGGCCGCTCAGGAATCGCGCTGGCTGTGCTATCTCCTCGCCGAGCTCGGCACTCCCCAGCGCTGTCCAACCCTCTGGTGCGACAATGCCAGCATGATCCACCTCACCAAGGACCCAGTCTTCCATGGGCGGTCCAAGCATATCGAGCTTCGTTATTTCTACATTCGCGAGCTCGTCCAGCAGGGTCACCTTGTTGTGCGCAAGTTTGCCGCTGAAGCAAACTTGGCAAACATTTTCACCCGGGCCTTGCCTAAAGCCGCACACAAGGCCCTCCTTCGTCTCCTTGTCCTTCGCCCTCCTAGCCCCTTCCGTGCTCCATGATTTAGGGGGTGTTCGTCTTCTCCATCCTAGTCCTCTGCATGTTAAGGGGTTGTGTTAGATTACATACAGTATATCTATTGTAACATGCTCGACTAGTATTTTAGCTAGGTGTGCACCAACCAGTGGTGTACACATCAAAGTGCAAGGGGTGTTAATCCAACCCTGGAGTGGTTGGAGCCCCCGAGCACTAAGACCACAATATTGGGACCATGCAAGTGGCTCCCATGGTGGTTGGGTACTGTTCCTACCCAATTGCATGTGGTACTGTTTATCTTTCTCTTGCTAGCTTCCCTTCCTTCCCAACTTTCCTATGTATGCTCCTGATTCTTCTACTCGAATAATCTCTTCAATTCTTTCCCATGAGAGGTGTTTGAGGTGAGGCATCCCATGCTGTCATGCCATGCCGCAATCTCATGGGGCCATCCCATGCTGACATCCCATGCTGTCGTGCTGTGCTGCCATGCCATGCCATCAAGCAGCTTACCATGTGCTCCGCTTCACCTGCATGCTTGGCCATGTGCCATGTTTCCCATGTGGGGTGCATTAGACATAGGCTCGGGCCAGGCCACCCCCTACCCTGGCCAGAGGCCCAGAACGAACGGGCAGCCCTCGGTCCTGTGGCGTTTTGCGGATCAGGGCGTTTGGTTCTTGTGGTCTGTGAGTGATGATGGGACCACATGCCGGTTCAACAGCCTGTAGTACCCATCCAATGCATGATCCAATCCTTCCAGCCGGCTGAAGGGTGGGGGGTTCGGAGGCCCCTGCCCTTCCAACAAGCTAGCCCAGCCCACTGGAGGTGGGACTCCTGCCATACCTCAGGACGGTTGGGGCACCTCAAGAGGGGTGGGCTGAGCAGGAGAGAAACAAGTACCTGAGGGCGGGTGGGGAAGAAGTACCCGAGGGTGGGTGGGGAAGAAGTACCTGGGGGCGGGTGGGGAAGAAGTACCTGGGGGCGGGTGGGGAAGAAGTACCTGAGGGCGGGTGGGGAAGAAGTACCTGGGGGCGGGTGGGGAAGAAGTACCTGGGGGCGGGTGGGGAAGAAGTACCTGGGGGCGGGTGGGGAAGAAGTACCTGGGGGCGGGTGGGGTAGCTGAAGGAGAGGTTGCGGATCTCAAGCTTGCCCTGGAGGGAGGGGAGTATGCGACCTGGAGAGAGACGGGGGACAGGGAAAGGCATAATGCGGGCGAGAGATAAAGGAGAGGAGAGACAAAAGTGTGAGGGGACGGTGGGAGGACCAGATGACTCGATGGAGAGAGCAGACGCTCCAGATGGATTCTTCTGCTGCAGAAAAAACCATCAAGACTCATTCCCCTGTGTTCTGAGTGTGGAACAATCTGCGGCAGGAGCCAACAGGAGCCAGCAGGAGCCAGGGGAGTCCATCAGTCGACTTACAAGTCACCTTGCCAGAATGACACATGAGTGGCCCGGTGTCCCTGGCAGTCCCGAACCAGCTGCGCTCGCCCTTGCCCCCCGTGAGCTGGTCCGTGTGAGCTGCTCTGCACTTACCGCTGCCCTTTGTGAACTGGTGCGAGTGCGGCAGATCCAGCAGTTGGAACACTCTGTGGCACGAGCCCACCGCGTCCATGAGCCCGGCCCAGTGCGTGCCCACACACCACATGTTGCGCACCACCCACTCCACGTACAGTATGACCCGCGTCAGCTGCTCCGGTGCTATATGACCTGCCATCACGGCTCCACCACCCATTACTAGCGCCGCCACCTGAAGGGAGGAGGGAATGAGGGGAGGCAGCACCATGTTGCATGTACTACCCATCCACCACGTGGCATGCAGCACCCACCACGTGGCATGCAGTACGCACCACGTGGCATGAAGCACCCACCACGTGGCATGCAGCAGCCACATTTCGAGTGGGATCAAGAGAACAAACTGCATCAGCTGCTCTGCTGCGATGTGCCCGCCATCGCTGCGCCTCCTCCCATGGCTGGCGCCAGCACCTCAAGGAAGGGCGATGGTGATGCACAGGGTGCACATGGTGCACAGGGTGCACGGGGTGCACGGGGTGCACGGGGTGCACGGGGTGCACGGGATGCACATGGTGCACGGGGTGCCCGAGGCTCAACCCCTGCACGAAGCAACCTCCACCAACATCGCACGCTTCATCCTCCAGAAGCTGATCTGCACCCATGGCTGTTTCGCCGTCCTCCACACCGACAACCGGGGACATTTCCGTGGGGATGTGGATACTCTCCTCCTCAACCAATTCAACATCTACCACTCATTCGGGACACGAGACCATCCACAGAGCCAAGGCTTGGTCGATCGCTTCAACAGGACCCTGAAGGGCGCCCTCAACCGTCTGGGCGATGCCAACCCCCTTCATTGGGACGACAATATCTGGCTCCTCCTCTTCGGGTATCGTGCCTCCATCCACGATACCACCAAGCACTCACCGTTCCAGCTCCAATACGGCCGTCCAGCTTCCATCAGCTGGACTGGACCCCACGACACTGTTAGAGATAGGCTGCAATTCGGTTGGCACAATTTTGTGTGTTGACACTTTCTTGGTTTTAGGGATACTCATATTTGTTAGGTTGGGTGTAGCTATGTTTTCATCCCCAACCTATCCCAACCCAATCCATCCCAAATCCCCACGATTTGGGAGGATTCCCTTGGGATTCCCTCCGATTCTCCCTTATCCCTTCCCATCCTCTCCGATGCTCGGTACTTAAGGATGTATGCTCTTGCTCATTTCAATCAATCAAGTTCTCAGTTTCTGATATGGTATCAGAGCTCGTTTCCGCCTAAGCGGCTCTTGATCCTCTCGCTCCGTTGGAGCCTAGCATTTGCGTCTTACGACGCAAAGCTTTTCTAGTCGCCTCAACTCAGCGCGGCGCTTCTTTTCGGGCTGAAGCCCGTCGCCCCGCATCTGCTCGTCACACCTGATCGGGCTGAGCCCGTCGCCCCGCATCTGCTCGTCGTACCTGATCGGGCTGAGCCCGTCGCCCCGCATCTGCTCGTCGCACCTGATCGGGCTGAGCCCGTCGCCCCGCATCTGCTCGTCGAAGCTGGACGGGCTGTCGCCCGTCGCCCTTGCAACAGCGGGGGGGTGCAGCGGCGAAGCGGAAAGGGGGCAGCGGCGAAGCAGAAAAGGGGGGGTCGCGGAGCAGCGGGATTGCAGCAGCACATCGCGGGTTTCCATAGATTTTTGGCGTTCAGATTTCCCTCTGTATCGGCTATTCCTCTTCTCCGAGTGTTGAAAATCCGCAAAGGGAAACCCTGTTTTTCGCGGAGCCCGCGCTGCGCGCAGTCGCCGAAGTGCCTATCGGCGACTTAAGAGCTGCGCTACGCGCGGAGAAAGGGTCCTTGGAGCATCATGGCGTATCCTTCCGCGTCTCTCTCAAACCCGATCACTCCCTTGCGCCTCGACCCAAATGGCTCGAGCCCGAACTTCAAGGAGTGGAGCTATGGGGTTGATAAGCATCTCCTAAGCCGCAAAATTGAGGGGATTTGCCTCAAGGATGTCCTCCTCAATCGCGGCAAAGGAAAGATGCCGATCCTTCCCAAGAAGCTCTCGGCCACAGCCACAGGGGAAGAGTTAAAAACCCATGAGGAATCCATGTCCAAGTATGAGGAATCTTACAGCGTGTGGGAGCAAGCCGACGCCGCTATCATTGGCGTCTTCGTCGGCAGTACCCCTTCCGAGCTCGTCAAAACTTACCATAACTACCCCTCCGCGCACGCCATCTGGGAGTACCTCAACGACCGCTTCCTCAACAAAACCGCTGTGGGGGTGGCGATCCTCATCCCCCGCATGTTTCAAGTGCGTCTGGAGGAGTGCCCTGGAATGGCAGATTACGTCGCTGAAATTCAAGGGATTCATCAGGAGCTGAAGCAACTCGGCATTGTCTTCCCAGAGCAAGCCCCTGCAGCAGCACTGCTTGTTGGGCTGACCCCCTCTTACAATGTCACCCGCTCCATGCTTCTCCATCTCCCGCCAGAAGAGCTAACCTTTGCCAAAGTCTCTTCCGCACTTCTCTCTGCTGAAAAAGACAACACTGCGCAGGCTCGTGCAAATGCGCTTCGCGCTCCTGTCCCGGCTCCAGCATCGCGTCCCAATCCGCCACCCACTCGTAACCGCTACCCACCCTGTCCTTACGTCATCAAAATGGGACCCCGTGCGGGTCAGGTGTGCGGCGGCACCAATCACCCGCTCGCCACCTGTTTCAAAAAGAAGGACGACGACTGGTTCGCCAAGAATGGTATCAACTCCAAGCCGCCCAACTGGCTTCGCATGCGCCAGCTCAACCAGGTTGAGGCACAGGATAGTCAGGACTCAGCCGTTCATGCCCCTAGTCCTGATGTTCGTCTCAACCTGTTGTTCCCTGGCCTTCCCATGATCAATGAAACCAGTTCCCAGTACTCGACGTCTCCACAAACACCATCTAAACCGCTTGAATTCGTCCTGGACAGTGGCGCAACCCACACAGTCCTCCGAGACAAAGAGTCTTTCAAACCATACCAAGCACCCATTCCTCTTCTGGGCGCTGACTCCAGCTTCACAACTGTCGCCCATGGTTCCTCCACTCTTCCATGCCCAGCCTTCCCATCTGGCACAGTCACTGGCATATGCGTGCCCACTCTTCGGCACAATTTACTTGCACAACATGAGATTCAACGAGCAAGGGTAACCACTATCTTCCCAGCTCATTCCAATCACTGTGATCTCCTTCAGCCCACCACCAATGCCCTACTTGCACGCTTCACACTGACCGCCAACAACCTCTACACACTCCAAGTACCTCCATCTTCCACAGAAGCACACTCTACCTCCACCACATCATCATGCTCCTGCCGTCAGCTCACCGATCCAACCATTCTTTACCACCATCGTCTTGGGCATCCCAACTTCCGCATGCTCTCCGAGCTTGCGTCTAAGAAGTTGCTTCTTCACCTGCCCGACACACTTCCTCCACCCTCCACTTCTCCCGCTCCTCCATGCTTGGACTGCGCGCAAAGCAAACTACGCCAGTTGCCTCACCCTTCCTCGCCCTCTGCTGCAGCCGCCCCGCTTGACCTCGTCCACATGGACGTCTGGGGCCCAGCTCCAGTCCGCTCTCGTGGCGGGCACTCTTACTTCCTAGTGCTCGTTGACGATCACTCTCGCTATGCCTCCGTCCACCTACTCTCCTCCAAAGCAGCTGTTCCAGATGTCGTCATCGCATGGCTTCGACAAGCCCAAAATCATTTCCGCACTTCAGTCAAGTGCCTCCATTCCGATGGCGGTGGCGAATTTCGAAACCATTCCCTTCAAGCGTTCTGTGCCTCCCAAGGCATTCGCCAGACCTTCACCCTTCCCCACAGTCCGCAGCAGAATGGCATTGCCGAAAGTCGCAATCGCACTCTCGTGCAAATCGCTCGCTGTCTTCTCACTCACGCTGGTGCACCACCTTCCCTTTGGGGTTACGCCCTCCTTCATGCCACGCTGCTGTACAACCTTCACCCTCACCCTCTTCGGCCTGCCATCACTCCCGCTGAACTGTGGACCGGCACCAAGCCCAGTGCACGTCCTCTCCGCGTATGGGGGTGTACAGCTTATGTCCTCCTCAACCCTCAGGAACGTCGCACCCACGGCGGCAAATTTGCACCCAAAGCTCAACCCTGTGTCTACCTCGGCCACAACCTGGACTCTCCCGATTACCTTTTCCTCAATCTCTCCACCAATCAGCTCATTCGTAGCCGCGATGTCGCCTTTGACGAGAGTCGCCCTTTTTACCTCTCTTCACCACCCCCCACCGCTCCACCTTTGCTTGTGTGGGCTGATTTCGATACTTCACCCACCCCACCTCCTCCCTCTGCCGCTCCTGCGGCCCCCTCACTCTCACCTTCCCCATCTCCTTCCACTCTCTCTCACCCCTCTTCGCCCACTGGCTCAGTTGCCCGTTCACCTCCGCCTGCGCCTGCACTTCCCCTTGCACCCGCTCCTGCAGCTGCCCCTCCACCTCCCTCTCCTTCTGTGGCTCCCCCTGCCCCCGCGCCTCCCTCCCCGCCTTCACCTCCGCTTCCGCCTCCAACCTCCACCTCTCCTCCCGACTCGCCCATCACCTATCGTCGCCGTCGCCACGGCCGCTCTTATGTCGATGTCCCACCTGCTCCCCCGCCACCTCCCTCCTCTCCTGTCCCTATTGCTCACCGCACCCGCTCTCATGGTCCCGCTCCGCCTCTCGCCCTCTCTGTTCGCATCTCCCTCAATCCGCCTCCTCCTGCCGGGGGTGCATCCATGCCTGGCCTCTTGGAGGATAGGCATGAGGAGCTGATTGAGATCAATGCTGCCATCCGTCAGCTCTGCCATCTCTTCCCCGACCTTGCCGACGCTCCAACTCTTAACTTCTCGGAAAATCCATCCATCCCGACCCCGAACTCATATGATGAAGCCATCTCTGGACCACACTCCCCCCAGTGGCTCGCAGCCATGATCGCGGAGTGTGAAGCATTCATTCGCAACAACTCTTTCACGGACGTCTCTCCTCCGCGAGGAGTTAACATTGTCCGTGGCAAATGGGTTTTTCGCGTCAAGCAGCTGCCTGGCGAACTCCCAGTCTTCAAGGCGCGATACTGTGCAAAAGCCTTCACGCAGAAGAAGGGCCTGGACTTCTTCGACACCTTCTCTCCGACAGCCAAACTGCCCACACTTCGGACTCTGCTGGACATCGCTGCTCGATGCAACTTTGACGTTCACTCCATGGACGTCTCTGCTGCATTTCTCCAAGGGGATCTCCCCGAGGACATCTACATGGAACGTCCTCAAGGATTTCCCTTACCCTTTCCACCCGGCACGGTCTGGAAGCTGAATCGACCAGTCTACGGGTTGAAGCAGGCTCCTCGGGAATGGCACAAGAAGCTGAAGGCAACCCTCGAGTCACTCGACTTCCACCCCTCCTCAGCCGATCCGAGTCTCTTCATTCGCAAGAACGACAACCCGTTCTTCATCCTTGTCTACGTTGACGACATGATTCTCGTCTCCAAGGACTCCGATCAGCTGGCAGCTGTTAAGCAAGCTCTTGGGGACGCTCTCGCCATGAAGGACCTCGGTGAACTCAAGAACTACCTTGGGATGGAAATCTCGCGGGATCGCGAAGCTCGAACCATCACTCTCTCTCAAGAGTTCTATGTGAACAACGTCCTCAAGCGTTTTGCCATGGACAACGCCAAGCCAGTGGCCACTCCCCTTCCCTTGCAGCATGATCTGACCACTCCATCAGTTCCATCGCCTGAGCCTTGTGATGAGGCATACCCCGAGCTCGTCGGATCACTCATGTATGCGATGATGTGCACAAGGCCCGACCTCGCCTACCCCATCAGTGTGCTCTCGCGTTACGTTGCTGCCGGTCGATACACCAATCGCCACTGGTCGGCTGCTAAGCGCGTCCTTCGCTACCTCCAAGCCACCAAGGACTACGTCCTCACTCTCGGTGGCACGACCCCTCCTCACCTCGAGGGATACAGCGACTCCTCATGGGCTGATGATCAAGCTGACCGCCGCTCTTCCCAAGGCTATTGCTTCACCCTTGGCAGTGGTGTCATCAGCTGGCGATCTACACGCTCATCATCCGTCTCATTGTCATCTTGCGAAGCTGAGTTATACGCAGGCACCATGGCAGCCCAAGAAGCTCGATGGCTTACCTACCTCATGGCTGAGCTCGGGTATCCTCAGCAGACCCCGACTCTGTGGTGTGATAACGAGAGCACTATCCACCTCACCAAAGATCCTGTCTTCCACCAACGAACCAAGCACATCGAATTGAGACACTTCTTCATGCGCGAGCTCGTCCAGCGAGGGCAGTTGTGCGTCAAGCATATTTCCTCTGACTGCAACCTCGCCGACTTGTTTACGAAGGCTCTTGGACGCCGTGATCACTATCGTCTCCTCCGTACCATGGGACTTGGCGTCCCTACGGCTTCCGACGTTGCAGCCTAGGGGGTGTGTTAGAGATAGGCTGCAATTCGGTTGGCACAATTTTGTGTGTTGACACTTTCTTGGTTTTAGGGATACTCATATTTGTTAGGTTGGGTGTAGCTATGTTTTCATCCCCAACCTATCCCAACCCAATCCATCCCAAATCCCCACGATTTGGGAGGATTCCCTTGGGATTCCCTCCGATTCTCCCTTATCCCTTCCCATCCTCTCCGATGCTCGGTACTTAAGGATGTATGCTCTTGCTCATTTCAATCAATCAAGTTCTCAGTTTCTGATAGACACCACCCCCATCGACCTCTCCGATGATGCGATGGCTGAGGCAGCAGCCACCACGATCTACAACCGCACATGCTTCTATGGGGAGGAGCTACGTGCAGCCGCCCACAATTCCGACATTGCCCAAGAGAGGCAGAAGCTGAACTTCGACCTCCGATGCACCACCCGCACGGAGGACGAATCCATCAAGGTCGTCGATTTCGTCGCCGTCGAACCCGCCAACAAAAGGATCGATTGGACCCAGCAACCCGCTCGCTTCCGCCAGCTCTACACGGTTGCCGCTGTCGATGACAACATGCTCAAGCTCAGTACCAAGGATGGCCAATTCTTTTGGCAGCCACGTGAGAAGGTGGCTCTTTATAAGCTCCGAAAGTAGCGTCCAACCGAGTCGGGCGTCGCTTCATCTTCCCCAACCGCCCGACTAGCATCACCGTCATCAGGGGATGACGAGCTTTTTCGAGGGGGACAGCCAACAGCAATAACCGTCTTTTACAGCCAGCAGCAGCAGCGTTACCGCTGACCACCGCACTCCACCCCTTTCCATCTCCCTAGACTTTTTATTCTTTTCGCCTTCCCCTGCTGCATGAACCGCTCTTTTTACCGTCCTGATTCATTCCTCTGACGGGCGATGAAACACGTTCCTACACCAACCCGAAGCATCAGATCTCCAAGCAACCGCTCGTGACAGAAGATCTTGTCTGCGAAACCGGAGGAAGGGGGGGGAACGTTTTTGGGACATTATTGGAAAGTGGGACGGATGGTCGAGAGAAGGCGAACCGTCTCTCCCCCTTCAGCTTGAAGCCGGCCACGCTTCAGCCTATAGCACACTGCGACAACGATCCTTCCAATGGCTCATCGACCGGCATTATGCCTTGCACCAACCACCCGAGCCATTTTCCGGACCCATCCCCACCAACCGACATGGTCGCAAACCTACAAACCCGAGCGTGACCAACCGCCCGAGCCGCGCATTTTGGTAGCCCTCCCCCCTCCATATTTTCATCCTTTATAGCCTGCCAACCGCCCCGAACCGCGTTGCAACCGCCAGGTTCCGGATTTCACCCCTAACCTGAAAGGCGAATCGACAGCCATCCAAAACCGCTCGAGCCGCGACAGCCAGGGTATAGGAATCAACCCCATCCCAACTGCCAACCGAGCCGCAACCGCCAGGGTTAGAGAATCACTTCATGGCACAGCCAGCTGCTATAGATCCAGCCACCATCAACATTTCCTCATTATTTTCCAACTCTCATTTTCGACTCCAAATTCTCAGTCATGGAGCGAACTCGCCCCGATTCTCCCATCTTCAGGACCTCAGGGCCTCCTGATCCCCGAGACCTGAAGCCGGGCCATTTCCTGCACAAGCCCGAGCCCCTTCCGACTTGGGGTTCGCCATTCCCCATCTTCAGGTCCCCAAGTCGGAAGGGGCTCGGGCTTGTGCAGGAAATGGCCCGGCTTCAGGTCTCGGGGATCAGAGGCCCTGAGGTCCTGAAGATGGGAGAATCGGGGCGAGTTCGCTCCATGGCTGAGAATTTGGAGTCGAAAATGAGAGTTGGAAAATAATGAGGAAATGTTGATGGTGGCTGGATCTATAGCAGCTGGCTGTGCCATGAAGTGATTCTCTAACCCTGGCGGTTGCGGCTCGGTTGGCAGTTGGGATGGGGTTGATTCCTATACCCTGGCTGTCGCGGCTCGAGCGGTTTTGGATGGCTGTCGATTCGCCTTTCAGGTTAGGGGTGAAATCCGGAACCTGGCGGTTGCAACGCGGTTCGGGGCGGTTGGCAGGCTATAAAGGATGAAAATATGGAGGGGGGAGGGCTACCAAAATGCGCGGCTCGGGCGGTTGGTCACGCTCGGGTTTGTAGGTTTGCGACCATGTCGGTTGGTGGGGATGGGTCCGGAAAATGGCTCGGGTGGTTGGTGCAAGGCATAATGCCGGTCGATGAGCCATTGGAAGGATCGTTGTTGCAGTGTGCTATAGGCTGAAGCGTGGCCGGCTTCAAGCTGAAGGGGGAGAGACGGTTCGCCTTCTCTCGACCATCCGTCCCACTTTCCAATAATGTCCCAAAAACGTTCCCCCCCTTCCTCCGGTTTCGCAGACAAGATCTTCTGTCACGAGCGGCTGCTTGGAGATCTTATGCTTCGGGTTGGTGTAGGAACGTGTTTCATCGCCCGTCAGAGGAATGAATCAGGACGGTAAAAAGAGCGGTTTATGCAGCAGGGGAAGGCGAAAAGAATAAAAAGTCTAGGAAGATGGAAACGGGTGGAGTGCGGTGGTCAGCGGTAACGCTGCTGCTGCTGGTTGTAAACGACGGTTATTGCTATTGGCTGTCCCCCTCGAAAAAGCTCGTCATCCCCTGATGACGGTGATGCTAGTCGGGCGGTTGGGGAAGATGAAGCGACGCCCGACTCGGTTGGACGCTACTTTCGGAGCTTATAAAGAGCCACCTTCTCACGTGGCTGCCAAAAGAACTGGCCATCCTTGGTACTGAGCTTGAGCATGTTGCCATCGACGGCGGCAACCGTGTAGAGCTGGCGGAAGCGAGCGGGCTGCTGGGTCCAATCGATCCTTTTGTTGGCGGGTTCGACGGCGACGAAATCGACGACCTTGATGGATTCGTCCTCCGTGCGGGTGGTGCATCGGAGGTCGAAGTTCAGCTTCTGCCTCTCTTGGGCAATGTCGGAATTGTGGGGTGCACGGGGTGCACGCCGTGCACGGGGTGCACGGGGTGCACGGGGTGCACAGGGTGCACTGGCACATAGGTGCATAAGTGCATGAACGGGTGCATGAGTGCGTGGGTGCATGGCTGCATGGGTGCATGAGTGCGTGGGTGCATGAGTGCATGGGTGCATGAGTGCGTGGGTGCATGGGTGCATGGGTGCATGGGTGCATGAGTGCGTGGGTGCATGAGTGCATGGGTGCATGAGTGCGTGGGTGCATGGGTGCATGGGTGCATGGGTGCATGGGTGCATGAGTGCGTGGGTGCATAGGTGCATGGGTGCATGGGTGCATGGGTGCATGAGTGCGTGGGTGCATGGGTGCATGGGTGCATGGGTGCATGGGTGCATGAGTGCATGGGTTCATAGGTGGTGAACTAGGTCAGCTTCTCCGTTATTATGTGTTGTCGCATCACAGCCCCTCCTCCCATCATCAGCACAAGCATCTGAGCGATGGAGGCGAGGAGATGAGAGCGCGTGCGGCAGTGCGTAGACGTAGGAGAGCACACACAAGGGTGAAGGGCGAGGGGATGGGAGTGATGGGGTCACGTCACTCCTGGTGTCCGTGGGGACACAATACGGTTGTCAACTAGGTTGGAGGGCCATGCTCCCCGTTCACATCCCACCATCACTTCTCACACGCCCTCTGTCACGGTTTGCACCCCATCGTCGCTGTTTGCACACCCAGTGTCATTTCCCCCATCCCGGTACCTGCGTGGCATTGTAGATGGTGTTGCCAGCGCACGCCCACAGCCCGTTCGCCACGCACCTCCTCGAACCCACATGCACGATGCGCTGGAGTGGCGCCTCGTACCTGGTATAAGCACACTCGCATGCAGCAACAGTTGGGTTCTTGTTGAAGCATGTGATGGTACAGTACCGCAGTGAAGCTGGGGAAATAACACCAAAGCAGGGGACTTCAAGCAGGGCGCCGCGTATCAGGGCACCGTATGTCAGGGCACCGTATAGCAGGGCACCGTGTATCAGGGCAGCGTATATCAGGGCACCGTATATCAGGGCACCGTATATCAGGGCACCGTATATCAGGGCACCGTATATCAGGGCACCGTATGTCAGGGCACCGTATGTCAGGGCACCGTATATCAGGGCACCGTATATCAGGGCACCGTATATCAGGGCACCGTATATCAGGGCACCGTATATCAGGGCACCGTATGTCAGGGCACCGTATGTCAGGGCACCGTATGTCAGGGCACCGTATGTCAGGGCACCGTATGTCAGGGCACCGTATGTCAGGGCACCGTATGTCAGGGCACCGTATGTCAGGGCACCGTATGTCAGGGCACCGTATGTCAGGGCACCGTATGTCAGGGCACCGTATGTCAGGGCACCGTATGTCAGGGCACCGTATGTCAGGGCACCGTATGTCAGGGCACCGTATGTCAGGGCACCGTATGTCAGGGCACCGTATGTCAGGGCACCGTATGTCAGGGCACCGTGAAGGAGGGGACAGCGCAGCAGGGATTGCAGTCCAGACGTCATGGCACGGATAAGAGAGTGCAGGGAATGCAAGAGATGAGGCCCTGACTGACCTACTGCACACAGGGCAGCCTCACCTGGCGACTTCTCTCATCTCACCTGGCGACTTCCTTGCTCTCCGTGCCAAAGGCCCTCACCACCCGGGCCAGCGACAGGGTCTCCTCCGCCACCTGCGGATGGGGCCAGCGGTGACGGGGGTGCGGACGGGAAGGGGGCGAGGGTGGGTTTGGAGTGGGGATGGGCCAGCGGTGAAGGGCGACAAGGGTAGGGATGGGTGGGGAGGGGTCACCGTGATGATGGCATGGAGGAAAGCACCGCATGGGCATGGTGTCCGAGCAATGCCTCATGAGACGGGTGAGAGAGAGGCCTCCCCTACTACCATTGGAGGTGGAGGCACGAAGGGGGATGGTTAAAGGGGCGGGGGAGATTGGGGCTATCGAGGCTGGAAGTGATGGCGATTGGGTGAATCATGGAGATAGGACAAGCATGGGGTTCTTGGGTGCGCATCCAACATGCTGATGGGTGGTGGACGGTCAAGATGGCAATGGGTGGTGGATTGCCAAGATCGCCATGAATGGCGGATGGTCAAGACCTAGCGTTAGTTGAGATGGCTCTTTTCGCTTGCAGACTAGGCTGCAGGAAGGGGAATGTTCACCCGCCCAGGGGGTGATTCACCAGGGGATTGAGCCACTAGGGGATTGGACGAGTGGGAGGTTGCCTCACCGCATTGGCTTCTGCCTCGATGTCTCGGAGTGCCACGGCGCTCCGCCGAGAGAAGCTGGACCATGAGAAGAGCGGAACGCAGGGAGGCAGAGAGGCAGAGAGGCAGAGAGGCAGAGAGGCAGAGAGGCAGAGAGGCAGAATGGAGGAGGCAGAATGGAGGAGAGGGGAAGAATTGAGGAGTGGAGCAGAATGGCAGTGGGGCGAACACAGGTGGACATAACGAGACAAGGACAGAGCAGTCCGGAAGAGAGCAGAATATGAGGGGGAAAGGAATGGCAAAAAAAAGATGGCTGAGTCAACGGAGGTATGGCGCTACGACATTAGCTGTCTGCCACATGTCCCTGCCATGATAGTGCAGGAGCAGGCACCACATACGTGGCATAGCGCAGGAGCAGGCACCACATGAGGGCACAGAGGGCAGCAGTCACAAGGGCCATCTGCCAGCTTAGGTGCATGAGGACCACAAACGCCCCTGTGGCCTGCTCGCCCGTGCCGGATTGGGGAGGGGGCAAAGAGAGGTGTGGAAGGAACAAGTGGAGAGGAAAAGTGGAGATTCTCATATGGCATGGACAACTCCAAGGCTCAGATGGCATGGACAACTCCAAGGCTCAGATGGCATGGACAACTCCAAGGCTCTGATGGCATGGACAACTCCAAGGCTCAGATGGCATGGACAACTCCAAGGCTCAGATGGCATGGACAACTCCAAGGCTCTGATGGCATGGACAACTCCAAGGCTCAGATGGCATGGACAACTCCAAGGCTCAGATGGCATGGACAACTCCAAGGCTCAGATGGTATGGACAACTCCAAGGCTCAGATGGCATGGACAACTCCAAGGCTCCGATGGCATGGACAACTCCAAGGCTCAGATGGCATGGACAACTCCAAGGCTCCGATGGCATGGACAACTCCAAGGCTCAGATGGCATGGACAACTCCAAGGCTCCGATGGCAGGGAAAACTCCAAGGCTCAGATGGCATGGAAAACTCCAAGGCTCAGATGGCATGGAAAACTCCAAGGCTCAGATGGCAGGGAAAACTCCAAGGCTCAGATGGCATGGAAAACTCCAAGGCTCAGATGGCATGGAAAACTCCAAGGCTCAGATGGCATGGAAAACTCCAAGGCTCAGATGGCACGGAAAACTCCAAGGCTCAGATGGCATGGAAAACTCCAAGGCTCAGATGGCATGGAAAATTCCAAGGCTCACATGGCTCCCAGGGCCCAGGCCCTGTGCAAACCACACGGATGACGACGTCAGGGCATGCAACGCGCAGCCCAGATGCAGTGGGTGTGAGGGGTGCGAGGGGATGCGAATGCATGGCCCGACCCACAGCGCTGGCGCAGCATGATGTTGAGGTCGCTGCCCAGTGTGAGCCATGATGCCCACTGTGTGGCCTGCTGTCAGCCAGCCAGCACGCACCTGCAGGCCAACCAAGCACGCACCTGCAAGCCAACCAAGCACGCACCTGCAGCGCATGGCGCAGCATGATATTGAGGTCGCTGCCCACCGTGAGCCCTGCTGCCTGGCAGTCGGCGCCCAGGCGAGACGTGAGGTCGCCCACCAGCTGGTCGTCAAAGAAGGCCACGTCCTGCCGCAGGAGCGTGCTGTAGAGGGCCAGCCGCATTCGCCGCACCTGGACAGTGGGGGGGAAGCAGGGGAGGTTCCGAGGAGGGAAGGAAGGAGATGCTGTGGCGGATGGACGTGCGAGCGGGACACAGAGAGAGACTGCTGCAATGGGCGAACCTGAATAGGGGGTGAGCAGAGCAGGGCGGGTGGGAATGAAAAAGTGCGGGGGGAGGGGGAGGGGGGAGCGCATGAGGGGATGGGTGGAGGGGCATGGGGATGGATGGAGGCAGTTGTAGGAGGGAGGGAGGGAGTGCACGTGGGAGGGCAGAAAGTACGACTTGAGAAAGCAGGTGCTCTCATCTCACCATGTGGCGGTTGAAGTTGGTGAAGGCGGCCGCTCTCAGACCACTGCAAGGGCAGGGGAGAGAGAGGGAGAGGGGTGAGAGGAGGAGCAGGGAGAGCCGAGGAGAAGGGAGAGAGGAGTGGAGCGCAGGAGAGAGTGGGCAAAGTGAGAGAAGCTCATGCAAATTGTGGGTGCAGAGCTGAAGGCTGAACCCAAGATGGCTCTCTCTCTCTCTCTCACACACACACACACACACACACACTTACCCGGACATGAGACTCACTTGAACACAACACAGCACACTCCGAACACGACACGCACCGGGCACGACACACACTCTGGACACGACACTCATCTGAACGCGGCGCGCACCTGAAGACCCCAGAGGCGAGCGTCATGGCGATGAGCCGCTGCACGTTCCTCGCCAACTGCTCCTGCCGCCCCACTGTCGCCGCGGAGATGCTGGCCGCCAGGAAGTGCGGGATGGCCACCTCTGATGCCTGATGGGGTTGCACGGGGGGGGGAGAGAGGGGTGGTAGCAGCGCGTTCACGGTGATTAGCACGGTATGCTCATTGGAGTGCTGGCAGGTGCACGTTCCTCGTGCCGTGCTCGCTGAGCGCAGTGGAGGCACCGGGTCTGCTGGCCGCCAGGAAGTGCGGGATGCGCACCTCTGGTGCTACCTCAGGATGGGCCATGCGGTGTGGGGGGAGAGAGGCGGTGGGGGGAGGAAGCCGTGTGGGGGGAAAAACCGGTGTGGGGGGGAAGAGGCGGTGTGGGGGAAGAAGCGGGAAAGAGAGTGCGGAGGGGGGTAGTCAAGAGAAAGCAGAAGAGGGACATCCGGGGAAAGGGGCGCGCGGACGTAGCTGGCGGAAGGGGAGCATGACTAACACTATGCTCACGACGCCGCTGGGAATCGAGGGAGTGGCGAGGCGGAGGGGAGGAGGAGCAGCAATACAAAGGGAAGTTGGAGGGAGAGGAAGGAGTCCTGGAGCAATGGAGCAACGGAGCGGGCGGGGAGGGAGGGAGGGACTGACAGCGGCGAGGGCAAGGCAGAGCGCGGCAAGGGCGAGCATGGCTTTGTCCGCCGCGCAGAACCGCCACAGCTGGCGGACGGCGCCCCACAACTCACCCGCCGAATCCCCACCCCCACCGCTATCCCCACTGCTGCATCTGCTGCCGCTGCCGCCGCTGCTCGCACCTGTGCCGCCTGTAGCCCTCCCCCCCGCAAGCTTCTGCAGGTCCCACCAGCTGCCGTCTGGCAGCACTGTGCGCGTCGCAGCCATCGCTCTCAGCATCGCTCTCCGTGCCGCCCTCCATACCGGAATCACCGCGGCGGGGCTAAACGCCTCGGGGCGCCCCGCCTTCCCATTTAGCGGTACGGCATACCGCCGATCGACCTGCTCCTCTTGATCCGAGCCGCTAACTTCTGCTCGTGCCCTGCCGATGCCCCTGTTTCCCTCGCTGCTTCCCTCCCTCCTGCTTCCCTCGCTCGCAGCACTGCCATTCCCCACGCGGCGCCTGGCGCCGACTGCCTTGCCGCCTGGCGCGGCTTGGCGCATCGCAAAAGCGTCAGCTTTGGGCAATTTAGGATTACAGCGTGGTATGCAGGACCGATTGTCAGATCGATGCTTTGTGATTGACAACGAACCCGCGAGTGTAAAAGCGCCATTTCTCATCTCCACTCACACCAGCACCTGAGCCCAGTTCAGTCCCAGGGAGTATTCTCGAAACTAAGTGTCATCAGATTGCAGGGGAGTTTGCCAAGAGCGCAGTGGTGTGGGCTGATTTGGTTTCTCCAAGGGCTGGTTTGAGGGGGCGAGGCTGTTCAGGAGGAGGGAGAAATTTCGAGTCGAAACCACGCTGGTGAGTGGCATCCACAGCCAACCCGCTTCATTCCGCTCAGCGCCTCGTGTGACACAAGCCCTTGATATGGCTACGGCGCGGTCCGTGCCATCTGGTTCGCAAGATCAATTGCCTTGGAACAGCATGAACCTCGCCTTGATGCTTATCAGCCCCTTGAAATCGGGCGAACATCGGGGCTGGCTGTAACCCTATTTCGGCTCGTGTAACTGCAACATGAATCAAGATCGCAACCACAATGGTAAACAATTGAGGCAACCAAAAGGGTTCTAATATTGAGCTAGGATTCCATAGCGAGTATCTGTACCCATCACCTCACCCATACCTCGGGCACCACCCCAACAATCGCCGACTATTTTGTCGAGTCGCCTTGACTCAAGCACCGTTTTCCGCTTCGCGCCACACTGCCGCGGAACGCGCCAATTCCGCCGTAGCTCCGCTCCCCGGCGCGCGGCATTTCCCCGCGAAGCACGCAATTTCCCGCAGAGCGCGCGTCTCTCAGCTCGCAACTCCCTGCAGCTCCTGTTAGCGGCGCATCCAGTTCCGCGCAGCCAGTCCGCCCCACTCCCGCCGGCGACCCGCTGCCCTCACCGGTACTCCGCCCTTGCGCCCTGCGCTTGCGCTCGCCGCGAACTTCGCTCCCGCGCCCGCCGCCCGTCATCTTCCTTTCGTCCAGCGCATTCCGCCGCTCTCGCCCCACTGCCTCGTGCTACTCGTAGCTCCGACCCCCTTCCATCCCTCTCCGCCTTCCCTTCACCTCAGCTCTTCTCTTTTCTCGCTCTCGCCCCATCCCCAAGATTAATCCCCCACCCCTCAACCCCCCATTCCCTCTCCTTTTCGCGCACGTCAACCCCTCTTTATGCGAAGGTGGGGCGGAAGGCAGGAAGCGCGTGCAAATCAATCCCGACCTTCTTCCCTCGCTTCTTGCCTCTGCTTTTCTCTGCCTCGACCTTTCTTCATCCCCACCGCCTTCCCTCCTCTCCTCCCTCCTCTTCCCCCCCCCTCCCCTTCCCCCCCCACACCGCCACCCCCCCTTCCTTCTGAAATATCCTCTTCTCCCCTTCGATCCTCCAAGACTCTTCTCTCTCCCTCCTCCCTCTCCCCCCCCGTCGAACCAGGTCTACTCCTGACACAGTGGACTCTCCCACGCCTCTCCTACCCACCTGCCATCACAGCAGCCCTGCAAGCTCCAAGCCCGCTTCCTCTTCGCCCCTTCCCCTCCCCCCCGCATGTGTGTCACCGGGTTCTTCCTGCCACCTCTCCAGTCGCTCAGCCAAGCCATACGCGCACCATCCCAAACCACGAGTCAAAGCCTCCCTTTGACAAGTCTCAAGATGCTCCAGCCATGATCCAGCCATGATCCAGACCCGTCAGTCAGACAACCCTCTTTGAGCCCCCCCAACCGTCACCCGGGCTTCCTCCATCGCCACTATTCTCTGAGACCTCTCCAGAAATGCGCCACCAGTGGACGGGCGCTCTGCTGCTCCTAGGAGGCTGCAAGCAGCACAGCAGTTCCGCTTGAGGGGCCCAACCCAACCAACCCGGTGCGCAGACTGCATTCACTGGAGTGGCAGCCGCATGCCATGGCAACGCGGTCGCAAGACACACCGCAAGCGCGCTCACGGCGAGGGGAATAGGCGCAGCGGAAATGCAGGCCGTGAGGAGTGACCGGCACGCACTGCGTGCAGCACAGGTTTCACGGCATCTGAGGGAGCAGCAGCTGGGTGCGCGCCTGTGGCCCGACAAGTGTGGGGGTTTGTGTTGGCGGAGCCGCAGAAGCAGAGTGCCCATGCTGCCTGGGGCGTGTGGAGGTTGGCCCCCGCAGCATGCACGGCCGCCACCACGCCATGTCACTTGCACGGTGTGGGTGCTGCAGCTCACTCGCATGCTACTCGTTGCATTCTTCCTCGCCTGCGTCATCGCCACACATGGTTTGGCCTTTGACCACAGCAGCCTCAGAGGTACGTGATCTCATCTCTCTTGCATCACCATGCCTCTCTCTTGCATCACCATGCCTCTCTCTTGCATCACCATGCCTCTCTCTTGCACCACCATACCTCTCTCTTGCATCACCATACATCACCATACCTCTCTCTTGCATCACCATGCCTCTCTCTTGCATCACCATGCCTCTCTCTTGCATCACCATGCCTCTCTCTTGCATCACCATGCCTCTCTCTTGCACCACCATCTCCCACTCTTGCACCCGCGCCCATCCCATTCCCTCCCTCGCACGTCCCCCCAGACTGTGCCAACATCATGGCCGCAGGAGTGGCTCTCACCCCCATCACCAGCACGCTTGGTTCAGATGCCACCTCCACCTCTTCTGACTCAAATACAACCTCCACCTCTTCCCTCTCGGACAAAACCACTTTGAACTCCACCTCCCCTGATGGAGATAGTACCTCCCCTGACTCCTCTACCAGCAGCAGCAGCAGGACGGGCGAGTGGGGCCACCACCTGCGGTACGAGCGGCGGGGCGGGGAGTGCTGGAGCCGAGCAGAGATGGCGTGCTACGCGGGGCACAGGCGCGTGGGAGCCGATGGAACGCATGGCTCGGGAACACCCAGAGAGCAGCTGGTGTCGGAGCATCTGGCAATGAAGCTGCAGCAGTACCACACGTACCGCCGCGAGTGCCTGCACAAGGAGCCCCCGGACCAGCTGCGCTCCACGCTGCTGGCCGGGCGCCCCACGATCTGCCGCTACCTGGTGTTCTACCACAGCTCCGACGGGCAGGGCAACCGCGCGCTCTCCCTGGTGTCGGCCTTGGCGTACGCGCTGCTCACCGACCGCATCTTCCTGCTCAGCTCCAACAGCGGCCCCGCTGCCGTCTTCTGCGAGCCCTTCCAGCACGGCGCCTCCTGGGTGCTGTTTGGCAGGGCGGACAAGCGGGAGGAGCATCATGCGCAGATGCTGGGGCTGAAGGTGGCCAGGGAGTGGCGCAAGGTGAGGGAGGGGCGGGCGAAGCCGGCTAAGCGGGGAGGTGGGCGGAGAAGGCTGGTGACATGGCAGCAGCAAGGGCGGTGGCAGAGAGGCAGAGGCACGAGGTGGATGCGGCAGGAGGAGATGGAAGAGGCGACGGCAGAGCTGTGGGAAGGGCAGCAGCGAGAGCAACATCCGACGCAGCGGCGTCTGCTGCAGGTTCTAAGCCCAAACACATCCGCAGCACCAGACGCAGCACCAGATCCTGCACCCAATCCCTCTCTGCCCCCCACCTCTCCTGTCCCTCCTCCTCCCACCTCCCTATCACCTCCAACTCCACCACCGCCACCAGCTGCATTGCTGCCAGCAGCACCACCCCCACCCCCAGCAGCGCCACCACCCCCTCCTGCCCCACCAGCATCAACTGCACCATCTGCTCCAGCCCCGCCTTCACACCTAGTCCCACCGCCACCTCTCACCCCAGCATTTCAACCCCCGCCCTTCCCCACCCCAGCACCAGCGCCACCACCGCCAGCAGCACCAGCACCCCCACCCCCTCCCCCACCCCCTCCTCCACCACCGCTGCAACCTACATCTGGGACCCCAGCAGACGAGGAGGAAGAAATCCCACCAATGTACGCCATGCCATGCCATGCCATGCCCATATGCGATGTGCCAATGTACACCATGCCCATGTGTGATGCCAATGTAGGCCATGCCGATGTGTGATGCCAATGTACGCCATGCCGATGTGTGATGCCAATGTATGCCATGGCATGCCATGCCATGCCCCTGTGTGTCATCAGCCATGCCATGAGAATCGTTGTCAGTGCCGTGTGATGCAGTGCCATGCCATGTCATTGCGGGTGGCCAGCCATGTCATTGCCGGTGGCCAGCCATGTCATTGCCGGTGGCCAGCCATGCCACTGCCGGTGGCCAGCCATGTCATTGCCGGTGGCCAGCCATGTCATTGCCGGTGGCCAACCATGTCATTGCCGGTGGCCAGCCATGCCATTGCCGGTGGCCAGTCATGTCATAGCCGGTGGCCAGCCATGTCATTGCCGGTGGGCAGCCATGCCATTGCCGGTGGGCAGCCATGCCATTGCCGGTGGGCAGCCATGTCATTGCCGGTGGGCAGCCATGTCATTGCCGGTGGACAGCCATCACATAAGGAACAGCCGTGCCGTGACATGCCAGGCCATGCCATGCCCCTGTGTGTCAATCACCCACCAGTAAAGGCTGCATCCCTGCCTACGCACTGCCTCTCCGACTCCCACACTCCCATCATATCTTCCATTTCCCACACTATTCTCTTCTCTGCCTCTTCCCCTCCCCTCTTCCCGTCCCATCCCCTCCCTCAACCCCTCCTTTCCGGTCACTCCCTCTTTCACAGCACCCCTCCCACCTGCGTTCTCTTATTTTGTGACTCAAAACCCGCTGCCTCTCCCACACCCCCCATGCTTTCCCTGTACTGTCTTCCATCTCCTCTCCTCTCCCCACTCCAACAACCGGCTCTCTCCACAAGACCCCTCCTTCCAGCTTCCTCTTTTCCAGAAGGTCAGAGCAGCGCCAGCAGCAACTTTTGAGACATCTCACTTCTCGTTCCCGCCCCTACACCCCACACCCTTCCCTCCAGTCTGAGGATCGACCTGCTCCACAGGACCTCTCCCTCCGGCTTCCTCTTCTTCTGTGCTTGCGAGCAGCGCTGGCTCGCCCGCACACCCACGCTGCTGCTCTCCTCCAACCAGTACTTCCTCCCCGCCCTCTACCTCCTCCCCTCCTTCCGCCGCCTCCTCCTCCTCCTCTTCCCCGCCCACCTTCCCTTCCGCTCGCTCTCCCGCCTCCTCCTCTTCCCCCGCAACCGCATCTGGGCGCACCTCACCCACCGCTACCACACCCTCATTGCCCCGGCTCCCGCTCGCATCGGCCTGCAAGGGCGGTTCCCCGCACACGCGAATGAGGGGCGATTGCGGTACGACACGGTTAACATGGGCCGGTGCTTGCTTGATGCTCTGAACTCGTCCGCTCTGCGGGAGGCAAGGGAGATGCGGCTTGCTGCTGGGGGGAGAGAGGGTGAGGGAGGGGGTGGAGGGGAGGTAGGCACGGGTGGTGCAAGTAACGGGACAGAGGTGGCAAGTGAGGCAGGGAGCAGCACCAGTGGAGGCAGCAGCAGCAGTGAGGATGATTATGGGCTGGGGGAGTTGAGAGGCAATGTGACTGAGGTGATGGTGGCGTCCCTTAACGCTGCTCTGGTGCACAACCTCTCAGCAGCAGTGACAGGGAATGTGAGTGCAGTGAGAGTGACTGTAGGGCACGATGTCACTCATGCTGCCATGGGTGTCCCGCTGCCTCTTACGAATAATACCTCTCCAAGTGCTCCGTCTACCGCTTCTCCTGCTGCTGCTGCTTCTCCTGAAGCTGATGCTTCAAACACAGTCGAAGCTATGAGTTCGAATACCAGCAGCACTTCAGACTACCATGTGCACTTAGTACGCCTGACGATCGACGAGCAGCAGAACAACGGCGACAAGGCCGGGGTGGAGCGGGCCATAGTGGACATATACACGCTCGCGCTCTTCTCTGACACGCTCATAATCTCCGAGGGCTCCACCTTCGGCTACCTCTGCGCCTCCCTCTTCGGCGTGCCCCACACCACCTTTGTGCACCCCACGTGCAAGCGCGCCCCGCCTGACCCATGCCTGCACTTCCCACCCTCCAACGACCGCTGCCCTGACGGGCAAGCCCAGGTGTTGGAGCAGGTGCTGGCTGCAGACCCTGACGTGCCCCTCATGCATTGTGTCGATACAACAAGAGGAATAACGCTGAAGCCGCTGGAAGGGTGGGCTTCTTGAGTACCGCAGATGCCAGAATATTACTGTTAAATTATATTTTATAGGTATATAATTGTAGGCTTGGTAGGTCTTGCTGAATCCTACTGTAGAGGGTACAACTCCCTCCTTGTATCCCTCTCTTCTAATCTCATACTCTTCTCTCTCGACATTTTCTCCTAGCTCCTAAACCTCTCGCCATTCATGGCTTCCCCCCCCTACCGAGCTAATCTTAACAATTACCTCCAAGGTCTAAAGTCATCCTCAATTTGTCATTAAAGAACACTGCAAAACCGTTCTCTGAAGCAGAAGGGTTTTTCCATGTCATTTTGTCGCTTGTCATTTCCTACTTGGGACGATACAACTTTGCCACGAAGCCTGCCCCGACATGGACCTTGATTTATGATAGGGTGCAGGGGATGCATTTTGCACAACACCCTGTTTGATTTTTGTGTCTTCAGTCGGGAACAAGGCATATTTTATCCGAGTAATTTACTCTGTTTCTCTGAAAATCAGAGTCGTTTTTGAAAACTACTCTAGGGGCCCTGAGTAAAAAAAAAAGAATTTACTATTTACTCTGATTTTATCCGAATAAACCTTCGTACCATTGTGATGGTCAGTGTATAGGGGGGATACCTGTGAAATTTACTCTGTTTCTCTGAAAATCAGAGTCGTTTTTGAAAACTACTCTAGGGGCCCTGAGTAAAAAAAAAAGAATTTACTATTTACTCTGATTTTATCCAGAAGTAAATCGTCTGGTGTTGAAATAGACTAAGTATAAAACTATAAACACGAACACTTGGCAAATCCTCAAGTGTTGGTCCAGGATCTTTGCTGGAATGGTAGACTAGTAAGACAGCGGAAGTCTTGTAAAATATAAAGGTCAAGGTTGAATAACCTGAGTACGTGAACTTGTGAGTAATCAAAAGTTTTTTTTTTTTTAATAATGAAAAGACCTAACAAGTATTTATGGTTCTAGGAAAAGTACCTATTCACTAATGTACCTGTTCGTCACTATCGCGCTATGCGCCCTAGATGATATTGAAGAGGTGCGACTGTTCGCGTGACTGAAACGACTGTCCTATGACGAGCGCTATTTGCTGACGTCATCCTACGGACTTATCTTCTACAGTAGGATTCGATACTAACTACACTTAATCGACTTACAGAAATGCTAAGTACCAATTATATCACAACACTCCCCTTCATTTCTGGAACGTCGATAGTGTCACTTCTTGAAGATTCCACACAGCTTGTTATAGTACTGAAACTTCTGTCGTGTCAGCTTCTTCGTGAGAAAATGGGCAGCCATTTCGTTGGTCGAACAGTAGACCAATCGCATCCTCCCCTTCTCGACTTCATCTTTGACGAAGAAATAACGAAGCGAAATATGCTTCGTCCTGTTGACGAAACCAGGTTGATGTGCGATGCGAATTGCACTTTGATTGTCGCACTGTAGGGTAAACTGGGTAGTTGTCGTCAATTTCGCTTCTTCCAATAGTTCCTGTAAGTAAAGTCCTTTGCGTGTTGCTGTGCAGACAGCAATAAACTCAGCTTCAGCAGAGGAGAGTGCAATTAGCTCTTGCTTCGTAGAATTCCAAGAGATAGGTCCGATAGGTTCCAGTCGATAGATGAACCCAGTGCGCGACCGTCGATTAGTAGAATCAGCAGCGTGATCGGCGTCGACAAAACCATGTAGATAGAGTGTTTTACAGCCGATGACGTTGTAGACTAATCCGACGTCAGGTGTCGAGATAAAATACTGAAGCGCACGAAGTAGATCAAGCTGATGCTCCTCCTCAGGACGGCGTAGGAACTGAGCGAGCTGACTGGCCGCGTAGGCTAGATCAGGACGACAAGTGACAGCGGCGAAGAGTAGACAGCCTAGCTGCTGTTGATAGATCTGTAAACCATTTGAAGTTAACAGTGCGGTGTTCGGTTTGTGGTCAGTCGGTAGTGAGCGGTACGGTGTAGAGACTGTAGTAGGTGTGAGGTTGAAGCGGGCAGCGAGAGTTGCTGTGTACTTCGAAGTGGTGAGATGAATAGTTGTCGGTGAACAGGTAATGTTCAGTCCAAGAAACTGTGAGACTGTTTCGGAGACAGTAAGTTGTAGATTTTTCTGTAATTTCAGTATGAAGGTCTCGGCAAGAGAATCGGTAGTACTGACGTATAAGATGTCGTCGACGTAGGCAACGAGTAGAATGTAGTTGTTGCCGTCGGTCAGTAGATACATTCCTTGATCATGCGGTAGTTGACGAAAACCGGCAGTGACCAGCTGCGAGTGAAGATACTGCTGCCAGAGCCATGGTGCCTGTTTAATGCCGTACAGGGACTTCCGTAGACGGCAAACACTCGGTGGGTTAGTAGTATAAGAATGTGGGTACTCTACCAGGAATAATGCGTCGACAGGCGCGTAGAGAAACGCATTCGAGACATCGATTTGACGAAGACGTAGATTACGGCAGGCGGCGACACAAAGTAGAATCCGAACGCTTGTATGTCGGCCGACAGGAGCAAAGGTGAGTTCATAGTCGATGCCGTAAGTCTGCTCAAATCCGCGGACGACCCATCGTGCTTTAAACTTTTCAAACGACCCATCTGCATTAGTCTTGACGCGGAAGACCCACTTTCCGGTAAGTACCTTCTTCCCTTTGACTTCTGAAGTCGGGATTAAATCCCATGTACCACGATTCTTGAGTGCTGCTAGCTCCTTGTCCATGGCTTCGCACCATTTTTCTCGGTGAGGACTCGTAAGAGCTTGTCGGACGATTTTCGGTTCAGGTATCTTACTGTCGTTGCGCTGTACTGCTACTGCAAATCCCAGTATCTGCAATCCTGTTTCTGTAAAACGCGGACGTTCTTCGTTTGCACCTGCGAAATTTTCTTCTGGTCCTTCTTCCCCCCCAATTTCGTCAGGTGTAACACGAACGGCTTCGTCGGATACGACGGGCATCGGCTGCTGTTGGCGATCACGTTCATAGCTGAGACGAACTTCACGAACATCATCCGGGACAGCATCTGCAATGAATTCAGGTATGCCAGTCGAGGTTACAGGTTCAGGAATGTCAGTTGCTGCAGCTTCGGATTCTTCATAAATTGCTTCGTCCTGTACATCAGCTTCAGCCTCGTCAGTGGCAAACGCACGCGAGCCTTCGAACAGCCTGGCGGGGTTGGCAGCGGCTGCCTGGTGGGCACGAAAAACGGGCAAGGTAAGTCTTTCGTAGAAAAGACAATCACGTGACGGGATGATTTGGTTTGAGCGGAGATCCAAAATCTTCCACGCATGATACTGTTTTTCGATGCCGAGATGTACCCCCCATTTTGCTCGTTCAGAAAATTTGCCGAGAGTTGCAGTTGGAGGACGAAACTGTACAACACACCCAAAAACTCGTAAAAGTTTTGTGCTCCCCATTGTACGTGTCCACTGCAGGTGTGGAGAAGAGAAATCGGGCAGGGACGTTGAAGAAAGAAGATTGTGTAACAGCACGGCGTGGTCCATAGCATACGGCCAAAATTGCGGTGGAAGGGCTGCCTGCGTCAGCAGAGCACGCATCTTCTCCTGCAGAGTCCTGTTCATCCTTTCGGCTACCCCCATCTGTTGGTGTGCATGTGGCAGCGACTGCTTCCGTTTGATGCCGAGTGTCTGAAGGTAGTCTGTGAAGGTGTTGCTGGTGTACTCCCCTGCACCATCGCTCTGAAATTCTTGCAGTTTTACGCCTGACTCTCGTTCAGCGACAGCGAGCCACGCGATGAAGACGGAGTGAGCGAGATGGCGCACAGGTAAGTTAGCTGTCCAGACATAGCGTGTAGATGCTTCGATGAAGGTTATCACATACTTCTCGTCTTTAGGTCCTGCTTCAGACAAGTTGAGTATGTCGCTGTAGATTTTCTGCATCAGTTTATAACGGGTTGAGCCGGGAAAATGACTTGGAAACGGATCGTGCGTAAGGTTGGCAACTGGACAGGTGGTGCAAACCGTCGGACAAGACTGCGGCTTCATCTCCGTGCCATCAGGTAAAAGTAAACTGTTTTTATCAAGAACTGCTGCTCGGATTGAATGATTTAGAATCCCTTGTGATGGATGCCCTAACCTTTTATGCCATATATCTTCTGTGGCTTTATGTCCTGATGATCGCAGGTAGAAATCGGAGTTAGTATAAAAAGAAGAAAGAAGAAAAGGAGAAAGTGCTGGTGACTTGTCAAGTTCTCCTTCGACGAAACGGTGAAGAGGTAACGTGACATTTGTTGGTGCTGCTACAGTTGCGAGTGCAACTTTTGATGCTGCTTCTGTTGATGTCGTGGCAGGTATTGCGACGACAGCTTCTGTTGGACTCGGCTGCGCAGTTACGGCTTCCTGTTCTGCTGCTTCAACGACGTCGGGTTCATCAGCTGCAAGACCACTTATTTCTCCCCAAAGTGGTGCTGGAGTTCCTTGGAAGGCTGCTCGGGTATTATAAAAGGTGCGCCACGCGTTGGCACTTTCATCGGCGGTGTTGAATTCCCAGATATCCAACGCGGTAAGTACGGCGGCTGCTGTTCGAGAAGCTGATGGTACCGAAGTTGCTCGAAAATCAATATCCACGTTTTGATAATCTGTGTCTTCGGGATGATCCCAGGGACCAAGTGCAAGGACGCGTTCAGAATCACCAGAAGTTCCTTGTGCTGCGAACTGAAGTACCGATACGCCATGTTGAGTGGCGGCACGACCAAGGTAGGTATTAGTTGTACTGTGCCAGAGCTCTTGATCCATCGTCTCACAATTTCCTTGTGTGCGGATTTTGTGCGCCAGGAGTTGAGCTGTGGAAAGAAGGTTGAAACCAAGACCAGCGACGATAAGAACGTTCGTAACATAAAGTGAGTATCCCATGTCGATAGATTCGAGCATGACACTGCCAACTGATCGTGCCATTATTGTTTGTCCGTTGGCGACTGCGACAGGTATGGGACGACGAAGCGGACACTGATTCGTGATGAAGCTTGCTTCGGCAGAACACATATGCCATCCGCAGCAGCTGTCGAGATACCAGGTATTTGGTCCTGAAATTATGCGAGCAAGATTAGCGTAAACTTGAGGTAAACGAATGCCTTCAGCACTTGTTGTTTCTTCAAGTCGGGTTTCGAAATCTGTTTCTGAAACATCAATAGTTGTAACACATCCAAAAACTCCTTTTCCTGATGTGGCAGATGCGAAGACCGGCGGGTGCTGCTGCGACGTTGAAGAACTCTGCGGTGGTTTCGGCATCTGCTGCTGCTGAGACGTTAACTGCTGCTGTGGCGGTTGTGTCTTCAGTGACTGCTGCGATCGGTGATACGGCTGCGAAGTGCTGCGACGATTTTGATGACGGCTGCGACAGTTTTGGTAAGTATGTCCTGGTTTCTTACAGAAATGGCAGAATGGATACTTTGGTGGATGTCGATGCTGTGTTTCTGGATTGGAGTAAAAACTTAAATGAACCCCCCTTTTCTGGTTGCGTTGTGACTGCAGGTCAAGATCTTGCTGCTCGGCTTGAAGATAAGAAGAAATTTCAGCTTCGGAGAGGTTGGGATTCATGCGCAGGAAGGCGCACGTCTGTCGCCATTCGGGTCCAAGACCAGCCAGAAGGACCGTGAGATACATCTCACGAGGGAAGTATCCCCCACTTTTCTCCAGTTGATCACGTAGTGTACGGACACGGTTAACGTAATCCATGACGTTTTCGTTTGTCATCATGTGCACACTTGTCAGCTGCGAAAGTATTTTACTCACTGTTATCGTATCCTTTGCCATGTATACCCCTTTCAGATGATTCCATGCAGTTTCGGCTGGTGTGAAACTTGAGTGAAATGATCGAACGCCGAGTTGCTCCTTCGGCGACAGGTTTCGGACAAGAACTGTATACGCCCCGAGAGAGGCGTGCAAGAAACTCTGCTGCTCCAGTTGTGTTCCCACTACAGGATATGTAAATTCGCCAGTGAAGAACGGCCATAGCCCAGCGGACTGCGCCATAAGCTCAAACTCAAAACTCCAGGAGTAAAAATCCACTCCATTAAAAGGTACGGTTGTCTTGATTTGAGTATTGTTAAGTAGATTTGGAGGCTGAAAAACAAAGCCTGGCTGCTGCTGTTGTTGCTGTTGCTGTTGTTGCGATTGCTGTTGCTGTGGTTGCTGTACTTGTGGTTGCTGATATTGCTGTTGCTGTACTTGCTGTGGTTGCTGAGCAGGAGAACGACCGAAGACATAAAAAGGATGCTGAAACTGCTGCGACTGCGGCTGCTGTACGAAAGGTGAGAAAGCGAACGAACCAGTATTTGGAGCTGTTGCTCCACGCATGTAACTTGAGCCGTCAAGGCTCATTCCACTGAACGCAGATGAAATAGATTGTGTTGAGACTGGTGGCTGTACTGATGCTTGTTGCTGTGCTGTTGTCTGTGACTGTTGCTGCTGCGTTGCAGGTGCAGTCGATGGAGCACCTGGAGTATTCACAGAAGGCGGATTCTGCATACCGATATTAGCATAGGCTGGTGGAAAGTGCCCAGAGGCTGAGAGACCAGCAGCGGTAGTGGAGGCATGTGCTCGAGTAGTCCCAGTAACTGATCCAGCAGATGGTGCTGGTGTTGGACCAGTCATAGTTGATGGTAGTCTTAATTCCAGATAGTTCTCATACCATGAAGTAAATCGTCTGGTGTTGAAATAGACTAAGTATAAAAGTATAAACACGAACACTTGGCAAATCCTCAAGTGTTGGTCCAGGATCTTTGCTGGAATGGTAGACTAGTAAGACAGCGGAAGTCTTGTAAAATATAAAGGTCAAGGTTGAATAACCTGAGTACGTGAACTTGTGAGTAATCAAAAGTTTTTTTTTTTTTAATAATGAAAAGACCTAACAAGTATTTATAGTTCTAGGAAAAGTACCTATTCGCTAATGTACCTGTTCGTCACTATCGCGCTATGCGCCCTAGATGATATTGAAGAGGTGCGACTGTTCGCGTGACTGAAACGACTGTCCTATGACGAGCGCTATTTGCTGACGTCATCCTACGGACTTATCTTCTACAGTAGGATTCGACACTAACTACACTTAATCGACTTACAGAAATGCGAAGTACCAATTATATCACAACAGATTTATGATAGGGTGCAGAGGATGCATTTTGCACAACACCCTGTTTGATTTTTGTGTCTTCAGTCGGGAACAAGGCATATTTTATCCGAGTAATTTACTCTGTTTCTCTGAAAATCAGAGTCGTTTTTTAAAACTACTCTAGGGGCCCTGAGTAAAAAAAAAAGAATTTACTATTTACTCTGATTTTATCCGAATAAACCTTCGTACCATTGTGATGGTCAGTGTATAGTGGGGATACCTGTGAAATTTTCCCCGCCCCCTGTACCTAGCCATGCCCCCGTGTCCCGCAGAACAGGTCATGTCACGCGAACCAGCGAAATCATCGCCTGGCCCGTGCTCGAGGCTGTGTGAGGGGGCTAATTGTCACTTCACCAAAATCACCGCGCCATTTGTGCTCGAAGGCTTGTGAGGGCGTTGGGTGGCCCTTCACCAAATCTTGGGCTCGAGCGAGATGCGTTTTTGGCTGTGTGAGGGCGTCTTGGGCCCTTCACCAGATTTAGGGCCAACGTGTGCTCGCAGAGGGAGGGGAGTGCAAGATTCCCCTTCCCCGCCCTTGCTGTGTCGACCTCCCCTGCCAGCTCGATTCCCTCCGCCCCTGCAATCTCGGTTTCAAACGCCCCTCCAATCTCTCAATCCTTCCCCTTCGTTTCCTCCCCATCTCCCGATCTTGCCCCGTGCGTACAGATGACCCTGCTGCAGGGAGTTGCTACAAAAACCCCTCTGCATTGTCAGCGTAATTTTTTTAGAAGTAAAAAAACCCTGGAAAATCAGAGAAACCATTGGGGGGCACTCTGATTTTCAGAGTAATGAAAAAAGCCACTCCCTGATTTCAGAGTAGTAAAAATCCAAAAGTCGGGAAACTCGCATACGTCAGAATGAAAGAACAGAGTGAGTGGAACAGAAACAGAACATGGTTCAAGGGTTGTCCCCACTTAGAGTAACCGAATGACTAGAATGAATGCATACAAGGGAATATATGGTTTGGTGTTGTACTCTCTAAGAGCACGAACCCTTCTAGCCTATAACTACTACATATAGAAATGTGTATAAGTTGACTCACCCCCTAGGCTCGACACGGGGCAGTGCCTAGCGAGAGACATGCAGCTCATGACGGCACTACTACCAGTAGTCCAACCTCTGAGGCAAGGGTCTAAAGACCAGTCAGTAAGAGTACAAGCTAAGCAAGAGTAACCCAGGACGGCACTACTAGTCCACCCACTGGAACAAGAGCCACAAGGCTAGTCAAGATAGTAGGAGTAGTACACAATCAAGGTCCTAGCAAGTGAGGAGAAACTGGAACTAGACCAAGCTGTACACAGTGCCGCTGATGATCTTTAGGCGCAAACGCCTTAGTAAAGATATCAACTGTGTTGGCACCGGAAGCCAAGTACACAACGCGCGCCTGGCGGCGATGCTGTAGCTCGCGCAGGAGGAAGTACTGCAGCTGGATGTGTTTCTCTCTGCCCTCTAGTCGCGGTTCCTGACACAGGAGGATCATGGCCCTGTTGTCAGCGTACAGGACCGGGGCAGAGCTAGGCTCCTCACCTAAGTCAGTGAGCAAGAATGTCAGCCAGCGGAGCTCCTGTGCCGCCATAGCACCAACGTAGATCTCATCCTCACAGCTGGACTGGGCAATAGACGACGAGCGGGTGGACCTCCATGAGATGGCTCATGCATCAAGGCTAAAGCAGTAGCCTTGGGACGACTTGATCGTCTCAGCGTCATCCGCCCACAAAGCGTCTGTGTGCCGTGTAAGGACCACTCGCTTGCATCCTCCCAGCACTAGTCCCATGCCCGATGTACTTGCTAGATAACGCAAAACCCTCTTAGCGGCCGACCAGTGCTGAGGTCGTGGTTTGCCTGACACCACAAATCGAGCCAGGATACTAGGAAGGTATGCGAGATCTAGACGAGTGCAAGTCATCAGGTACATGAGGCAACCCACCAGTTCTGCGTACAGACCACTGCGCTCAATCGACTCGTTAGGGACTGTAGCCGAGACCTTGTGGTCTACTGGCAGAGGCTTAAGCTGTGCAGAGGAGAACTGAAGGCCGAACTCTGAAGGAGCTGGCGCACCATGTGTGACTGTGTGAGAGTGATGGTGCGCGCTGCTCTGTTCATGGAGATATGCAGGCCAAGGTAGCGGCGCAACTCTCCTAGGTCAGTGCAGATGTGTCGGCCTTCACTGAGATCGGTGCGTCTCTGTCGGCAGTAGCAAAGACCAGGTCATCTACGTAGACTACGATGTAGAACAGAGTTTGGCCTGAGCGAACGAAGAGCGAAGGTTTAGCAGAGGACGGGAAGAACTGCAGGTCTGTTAACATAGCACGCAGCATGTCATACCACTTGCGGGGCGCCTGACGTAGGCTGTAAACCGGGCGCCAGAGGACCCACTTGCTCCAAGGAGAGAAAGAGCCAGAGAAGCGTGGCGGTCGGCATAGGTAGACCTGCTCGTGCAGAATGCCCTGGAGAAACGCTGTGGAGAAGTCGAGAGAGTGCAGCTCGTAGTTGCGCTATGCTGGTACGTCAAGCAGTGCCCGAAGAGTGGTCATCTTTGGGGTCGGGGCAAAGGTATGAAAGAAGTTAGCACCCTCGCGCTGACTGAATCCTCTAGCAACGTAGAGTGCCTTGAATACTGGCGGCTCTCCAGGAGGGCGCTTCACGTTGAAGAGCTACCGACCATCGACTACGTTCACCCTAGGTGGGGGAACAGTGTCGACATAGGTGGTGGTGGACCTCCAAGATGCCATCTTCGCGTCCATGGCAGCTATCCACTGAGAAGCCCAGGGTCCCGAGGTCGCCTCAGCGTAAGTGCGAGGGGTCAGGATGTCTAGGGCGTCTGGGTCACCCTCAGGGACTAGCAGCATGGAGCAAAGATGAGGAGCGGCCTCCGACAGGAAAGCTACTGTAGCTCGTACTGCCTATCCTCAAGGACGTAATTGCCAAGGGAAAGAGCACCCCCGATAGGTGGAGGACGTGCAGTGTCGGAGACCAGAGCAGTAGCTTAGTCAAGCAGCGAGTAGCGGCAAAGTTAGTAACGGCGGCAACAAGAGCGTCAACACTGGAGACAGGAACGGACGGGTCGATAACAAGACAGGCGAGGACCCGAGGGACAACAAGATGAGCAGCACGAAGAAATTCAGAGAGAGGAAGCAGAGAGACAACAAGGGACGAATGAGGAGGCGACGGGAGAAGAGGAGCACAAGATGCATGAGAATGGAGCAACATAGGGTGAGAACACTGAACCGGGGAGACAGGACGAGCACAAGAGGGACGACGAGACCGGAAGTGGGACAGAGGCATCGGGTCAGGAGACACAGGAGGAGACACAGGAGGAGACACAGGAGGAGAACGCGTGGGAAAATGAGCCAGCAAAGAGTCCGGCGGAGGAAACACAAGGCCGTAGATAGGCGGCTGAGGCGGCACTGGGGGAGGAGCGAGCGGGCGGTCGGGGGATGGAAGACCGAGGAGGCAAAGGCTGACACCGGCGGTGACTGCAGTGACTGCGGCTGCTGCTGCTGCTACACATCCACACCTAAACCTCTAGCCGCACCACTGCGACCTCCAGGACCCACTACGACAGCGCCTCCAAGACGAGCACCCCTAGAATGAGAACCCTCTTCAGCACCCACGCCACCTTAGGACCGCCGGGACGAGCCACGACACTAACCCTAGGACTAGCACCCCCTGAAACAGCACCCTCTCTAACGCCCGCACTCCCAGCACCCCGCGACCCCTGCGGTTGCGGCTGCTGTGGTGATGGAAACTGCTGCTGCTGCGGTGGTAGCGACGGCGGCGGTGGCCGTGGCTGCGGCAGCGACTGCTGCTGTAGAGGCGAAGGGGACACCGGGGCGGAGGGGGCAAAGACAAGCAGCGGACCCTGGGCCGCAAGGCCCCCAGAGTTAGCAGACTCCTCTGCCGGGGCGACCGAGGGAAGGGGAGTGACGTGAGACACACCAGACGGGGCAGGATGGGGATCGGGGGCAACCGGGGGAGTGGGGACAAGGAAAAGGGGTGGGGTGACTGGGAGAATTTGGTGGGGGAAGTGGGAGTAGAAGGGGACAGACTCGTCAAAGGTGATGTCACGCGACTGAAAGAAGTGGTGAGACGGTGGGTGGTAAAAGGGCCAGTCAGACGCATCAAAGGGGAAGCCAAGGAAGACATAAGGGACGGTGCGGGCAAAGATCTTGTCCGCGCCAGAGGCGCAAACGTGAGCGAGGCAGCCCCAGATGTGGAATGCAGACACGTCTCCGGGGGACCTGGTCCAGAGGAGGGTCGGCGAAACCTGCGAGCGCTGGGAGTGTGGCCATAAGTTAAACTGATGAGCGGCATAGCGAACATCGAACGGCAACAGAAAATGGGGTGTACGTGGATGGATCATGGAGGTACGAGCCACCTCCATGACAAAACTGATGCATCGCTCAGTGACCCCATTCTGCTGCGGGGAGTCCGGTAGGGTGTACGGCTGGGTGATGCCCTCCGCACGACAGAACTGGCCAAGCCGACCGGAGGCGAACTCACCGCCACGGTCGGAGTGGAGAAGAAGCACCGGTAGGCCGCGGTGTACTCGCGCAGCTATGACCCAT